TAGGATTTCTTTTTTATTGGCATTAGTTCCAATTTGTCTTCATTTTGATAGCTATCACTACAGTCGGCTGCTGTATAGAGAGTTCCATTATCTTCGCTTGAATAACTGTTGCATCTCACATAAGTCGTTACTTCAGCAGATTTGGGTAGTTTTCTTTGATCTATTTTACTGACTTTCCCGATGTAACCGCTTCCGGCTATCATGGGTTCTATTGTTGAATCAGTTAATGCGAATTCTGAATCTACAGTTGTGCTTTTGTTGAATTGAATAATCATTTGTTTCCAGGATCTTATGTAAGCTGAGCAGTTTTAATGATTAATGTCGACATGGTTTTTTCCGGTAATTTCTCAGCTCGTGGGACCAAATATATCTGTTGTGGAAGTAGTCAAATCCTGGGTTTGCAGTTAGTTGTAGTTTAGGACAAGTTATTGATTACAACACAGTCTTTATTCCTTACACAACGTTTATAATCAACAGTAGTTGTTGGTCGATAAGATATTGAGGGGATCTTCGTGTTGTTGCTATAGAGAAGTTTGGTTAATCCCCTATCCTCGACCGAAGGAGTTGAATTCCCTCGGAGGGTATAAATGAAGGAACATAAATGAAGGGTTTTGCATCTTGCAAGCATGGATTTCACTGAGTTTCCCTTTGATGAAACGTTTGATGAACGAGATTTTACCGTTTTCATTGAGGCAACGACGATCTCGTGTCGATTTCGCATCGATTTACATGATATACAGCAAATAAATCAAATCAATCTACAATTCGATGAAGATGAATATGATAGCCAATGCCACAATACTTATTCCAAAAATAATCAGCTTCCAAAGTTCCTCAAGTTCTGACCACTCTGACCCCTTGTATTGCATCGCTGACTACCAATTTTTGTTTCCAAATTTTGTACTAATTCTCCCTGTTGAGTTATTTGTTCCCATGTTAATAACAATATCACCGTTCACGATGTGCGAGTTATCCATGCCGCAATTTACCAACGATGATTTGTTTCCTTTCTTGAAAACAAATGATGCTTGCAGATCATCTACCGTCACATGACTTCCGTATATTTGTGCTTCAAAAATTCCAATCTTTCGATATAGGCACTTTGATGTTGCTTCTTGTTCGTCCCATAATATGAGGCTGTTTCTGGTTACACATTCCCATTGTGTGTAGTGCAGTGTTCAGTATTGTCAAGATCTGTGATTAAACTTCTTCCATCATAAAGGAGTATTTCGCCACTTGTGAACATGAAGTTTGTCGCTGACTGACATTTAGTCCCTAACCATCCATAATCGTATTGCACTTCATTTTTTGTCATCCATTTGTAGGGCGAAATCTGTTCCATAGTGCTTTTTTTGAGTTCCGTTTGCATTCTAAATCCTTGCAAAAATGATAGGAAGTAGAACTAGTGATCGTGTCATCGGCTACTACGGATAACGACAATCTGAGAAATGCTTTGGTGCATACCGTTCGAGTGATGTTATTGTATCGCCGGTATTCGTTCAGGTATACACAGCGACTCTAGTTGATGTGCAGTTTTGGTTTGTGAATTCTTCACAATTTCATGTCTCTGAGATATTAAAAGGAACACCTGATATCCATTTACAGTTTTCCTGTATTTTACAGAGACTATGGACAGACTTTTCATAATGGAATTTTTGTAGTTTCCACTTGTGTTTGGCGTTTTATAGCACTCCTTGTCCGTTGAGCGATAGGTTCTTTATCCATTTCTCGCGTTGGCTCGTCGGATGATTCTGATTCTTGTGTATCTGTATCGCTCTCAATTTCTAGAGGATACAGAGCATTTATTGGTCTGTTTAGCAGTTTCTCATGAGGTAATTCGATGATGGCGTTTCTTCTTCGTCTTTTTCTTTCTTTACTTCTTTAATTTTGGCTAGTTCTCACATACCGCGAGGGGTTTCTAGTTCATTGACTAGCACCATCTCCCCTTCGTGTGGTGTTCTGGTTTTTACACATTTCGGAGATGCACGTTTTCTTTTCTTTCTCTGAGACTGGTAAGATATTCATTTTTCCAAATCTTCCAGAATGTATCCAAGGCCTTGAGTGTGTTTGTTCAATGTTTGATGAGTTTCCTCTTTGTTGCTTAATTTGTGAGGAATGAATTCTTCTGCGCCGTTCCAATGAAAGCTTGATATTGTTAAGGAGGCGTTGGAGGAGATGAAGTCGATTGATCGTATAATAACATAATCGTCGAAACCCACATATACATCAATGGTCAAGTATCGAGTATCCCTTCAATTTCGGTTATTAATGTTATTAATTCTTTTTCCCACAATAGCTTTCTACCGATTGCTTTTCTCGTACCCTTTTTGATCAGTCCAATAATTCTTTTATAAATTCCCCCGCTCCATGGTGCTCTTGCATTATGTTTCTCCAAATCATCCCTTTTCTAGATAGAAAATTGTTTGATTTCGTGTCCTGATCCATAATTATTTTGAAAGCCAATTGAAATTGGCTTGCATTGTAACTTAGGACAGATTCAGGACAACCTTGCCAGGTTGTGAACTTTCTCAGTATATGTAGGAAACTTTCAGCAGACAAGTCTTCTACTAATTTCAAGTGTACTGCTCTAGTTGTAAAACATGTGAATAGAGCTACCCATCTTTTGATTATGCCTATCATTTTTGATAGACAACGGACCGAGGTAGTCTAAACCTACATGTGCAATGGTTCCGGAACGTTTAACCCAAATTTCTGGTAGATTAGGCATGAGTGGTAGCTTGAACGGTTTGGTTGTCCACCGTCTGCAAGCCATACATTTGTTAAGAACTCGTTTTACTTCAGTTCTGCCTTTAGGCACCTAGAATTTGAGTTGTATTTCTGCTAGCGTGTAAGCTACTCCTGCGTGGATTAGATCTTCGTGGCTGTATGAGAAGTTCGGTTAATCCGACAATATTTCCCAGCTAATAATCAATTGCATTGCCAGGTATATTTTATGCAAGAGATTTGTCGTTTTATGCAAGAGAAATACAGAAAAATGAGATGAGATCATTAAAGAGATACCTACATGATGATATCTTAATTCACAATGGCGTCAGTGAAATTGAATGAAATTTCAGTTAGCCATAGTCTCTCAAATCATATAAAGAGATGGTAGATAAAGAAATTTCGATGATATATGCGAATTTAAAAATTTAATTATAGGAGTTCAAAAAATAAACAATAAAACTAGTCTGAGAAAAATACCACCGATCTACCCTTCGATAGCAGGATGGAATGGCAATTATAAAGGACTCATCAAAACAGATAGCTTTTCATAGATTAAATTGACTTGTGAAAAACAAAACTAAACAGAAAGTTCATCTGATAAGAATTCCCTGATAGTTTTAGCATATTTAGATGTCCAATCCCTCATGAAAATAGCATTTAAGGATTTAACGAGTGTTGACGAGGTGAAGGAAATTCCAACACCAGCAGTACTGATAAAGTAATCACCAGCCCAATTCGACGTGCCTGAAAAAGTTGTGAGTTTATTCAGTTCTCTCAAATATAATAGAAATTAAGAAACCCACCAAAATAAGCGATTTTCTCCGTAACCATATATTTATTATGATTTACAAGAGTGTGCGGGATTTCTTCGTGGGACGGATCCATTGGAATTATAAATAACTTCTGCAAAAATCTTTGAATTTGAGCTAATAAGGAAACAAAAAATTTTATTTGGAGCTGTTGGTGCAATCTTCCATACAAAAATTATAAAAATTTCAAAAAATTTTGAAATTTTAACTCCATCTATTTTTTAGTGATCACCAAATATAGAATGACCAGCATGTTATTGGTGATCACATTTTTTCCTAGTAGTAAAATGAAAATAAAACAATTATAATTACAACTTACAATGGGGATAAAACTCAACAAACTTAGATGAAATCTCATTAAAAATGCTTACCACTTCGATTTTTCCAGAATGGTTTGCTCTTCTTGGCACACCATCATTAATTTCAAACAATGATTTCAAGAAATGAATCATTTCACGTCGAGAATATTTCCAATAACTCACCAGTAATCGAACATTTACTCCACGATAAACTGTTGCACGTATTGCATCATCTAATTTTGGCCAATATCTGTAAAATTATTATAGCTAAGATTGAGTGCAAATATTATGCTCTAATTTATAAAATGACTACCTCACAACCACAGAATTCTGAACATTTTTTATCTCTAAAATGAGTGTTCGTTACTTTCAGCAAAGAGCTACGCAAAGAAAAGAGCAGTAAATTTCTTTTTACTCCCATTTGATGTTCTATTTTTTACTGAGGCTGAAATCAGAATTAAACTGATAATCAAGTTCATATGACCTTAATATTTATTCCTTTTTCCAGTCCCAATTTTTCCTTCAGAGAGAATTAGACGAATCGTGTCTAATTCTCTCTGAAGGAAAAATTGGACTGGTTATTCTCCATTTCCCTTAATTTTCTAACCTTGCCTTGCCACAGAAATTATGCCGTAGAAACGACGAGCATTAAAAGTTAATATTATAGAAAAAAAGAGAAAGAGAGAGTGAAAGATAAAAGTTTTGAGCAAACAAATATTCGAAACCATACAAAATTTATATCTCGCTATAAAAACTAAAGCTCGTTATTCTCTCGTAATAACATATTCTTAACATCCAATAGGAAGAAATACGAATTTTGAAAGTTAGAAACTGACATATTAGAAGTCCCATAAATGGTTGCAGGCATGTAATCCATCACCGATATGTGGACAAATTCTTGTGCATCATCCATCACTGCAACGATAGCATCACTATCTTCTTCACGTCCTTTCGCGTTGAATTGACGAGGAGAACTCTGAATAAAAATGAACAAATGCTGAGTGACAAATGTATTTTATTGTTTCTCATTTCTTTGCATAGAAGTAGGCGACCAAAAGCTGTTGGGACCAGATGCTGGTTCATAAATTTGAATTAATTCCTAAGGTTATAGAACAATTCATATTATCTAGAAACATTATTGGATACAGTCAAGATTCACGACAATTAGTTCATTGTAGCTTTAGCAGGAATGAAGTCAAAGGCTCTTAAAAGATACTGTGCTAAAAGATACAATATTATATTTAATATTACACAAATGCTGGATGCTTCTTCAGTGAACTCAAGATGAACATTTATCGACAATTAATAAAAGGATAATAGAGAGCGTACCGATATGAATGTACCGGCGTCTTTGGCACTGAGAAGTTTAAGTGGATGCGAGAAATTGAAATAAGTTCTTAAATTCAATGGCCATTTATATGGAATTTTTGCTCCTTTCACTCCAAGACGCCAATAAACAGTGAAAATTTTATACAAGTCATTTGCTATACACGTGCAATTCCAAATCACAACGCCTAGTTCTTTGACCTGAAACAAATTTTTTGTCAGAATCGTTACCAAATTATTTCCAGAAAAGTTCTTTTTTTTTCCTTTTCTTTTTCTTCTTTTTTTCTTCTTAAGACACAAAATTGTCAAAATTTTTTGATCTTGAAATAATGGTCATTTATTCAATGAAAGTTTAGTTCATAGAACTTAACAAAAAAAAGAATATTACTAGAATGTCAGTATGATCACCTCTGTAAGAGATTTCCAATCCATATTAGCTGATCCAATGTAAACATGCCGAGAATCGACAATCCAGAATTTGGCATGAAGAACCCCATTACCATTCATCAGTTTCGCCATATCCAAATTTCGTACAGTTGCATAACCTACAATTAACGGAAACGGAAATTATCGGACATGTCCAATTTGTGATAATAACGAAGTGCATCACTCGAGCACAGTCTGTCAATTGTACAGGGAAACTTTAAATTCTAACTTTTGCATCAAAGTCTTAGAACATGTCATTTTCACAACTAATTGGAAACTTATCGTTCATTAAAATCATAAAATGATTTAGGATTAATATAGAGATAAAGATCAAATAAATTAGAAGTGCGGGATTTAAAATTAGAAAAAAAAAGATTTTATAAATTGTTTGAATTGCAGACCACGAATGGATAAGGCTTTAAAATTAAAATTATATTTCAAGTTTAATGATTAGGATTAGAAAAATATTTATAACACAGAAAATTATCAATATTTATGTGAGCATTTAAATCTTGCCATTTTTAGCAAAATAGTCCGAATCGAACTGTGGAAATGCTGCGGTTGGTTGATTTTGCGCTATTCTTATCTATAACATAGGAAGGATTATGTTCAAAACAACACTTAAAATATTACAAAATTCCGATAATGAAGGGAAGAAATAACTGTTGAAAGTCACTATGAGATGATGGAACAAGGAAATTTATCTCTCGTAAAAAGCATAAACCTAAAATCTCAATTGACGAAAATAAAAGGACTAACTAACCCGAACACCACGCTTAGCAGCTTTGACAAATCTTTCGAATGTATCATTTCCCTGAAAAAATAAACTCCATGAATGATCTCAGCATCACACTTTTCTTACAGCATAATTAATACAACTAATTTTAAGATTTCGTCATCAAACCGGAGGAATCAATCATTCTTTACGCTTCATTTTCTTCTATGCTGGACACTTTACTATTCGTGAGCTTATATGCTTCGGTGGTACTTACATCTTTAAGCTAGATCTATTCCCTACACCACTAAGATTGTTCACGTCATCGTTGTATGATTAATACACTTATTAGTCTTAAGATGGATCCTCCATGGTGTCCCAAGTGTGACAGTACCTTTGATATTTATTCGACAAATGGGATCAAAAGTGTTAGCCTGATAGTTGAAAGTATATATTAGAAATGTTCAACAGTGTGTAATGACAAAAAAATAGCAAAAAATAAGAATATCAAGCTAACTCAAATAATTAAAATACTTGAATAATCGGAGTATGTACCGCGTACATACTTGAAGTTACCTGCCAAAAGGATGAATGTGCTACAGGATCTCGAAGATTCCAGTAGAAAGACGCAACATCAATAGAAACTTCGGCATTATCCAATAATTGTTTCCAGACCTCGTAGAATGACGAACTCGTAAGGCTACTATTGTGAAAATCCAAAACCGATGGTATAGTTTCAACTAACTCTATTCTGAAATGATCTGTTAATGAAGAATGTAGATTGTAAACTAATAAATAAGTATAATGTTGTCTCTAGAAACGAAGTAAAGTGCAAAAGCTTTCCTCGGTATGAAATGCACTTTTGCTTTATTAATATCTTTAATCTTCTATTAGAAAAGCGATCTGAATACTTGTGATCTTTCATTTTGTGATCCAATCTTCAATTAATTTATAATCGACCCCAAGCTTACAGATATTCATCAAAAATGCAGAAGCCCAATCTCTGAAAAACAATGAAAAGCAAGCCTGCACTGATCGGTACAATAACCACTTCGATCATAACGAATGGATGCCATGTCAAAGCCATCTTCGTTGAATAATGGAAAAAATACAATTAAAAATATGAAGAGAGATATGATCGATACTGGAACACATGCTGGTTTGATGATGCTATGTTGACAACATTGTTCACTTTCTTCCTGAAAGATTAAAAGGGTTTATTTTTAAGGTAAGTCTGAAAGACGATTTTATTATCGGAATTAAACATTATTTACACGCAGTTATTCTTCTAATTCATATTGTGCATTAAAATTTACGGATCCAATTATGTACGAGATAACGAATAAACAAACTCATCTGTAATTTGCTAACATTTCCATAGTGAAATTGTAAAGATGAAGACAGACCTTTTCCAGAGCATATGAGTTTATTTTTGTATCAAACAGGTCCATCTCAAAATTGGTCATATCAGCACGACCATCTTGAGTCTGAAATTCGAACTTTATAAATGATTTTACGAACGGAAATAAATGAACTTACATATTACCTACACATTTTATTTTATAACTCAAAATGTGCTAAGTCTATGCCTATATACCATTAAAGTATAAATAAATATATATATACCAATATGTCTCTCTTAAATTACTTTTACCTTTCGTAGATCTGTTAAAATTTACAAATAAAATAAAAGCAATTATGTTTAATGTGTCCTTTCCTCTCCGTAATTTACCCAGCTTACATTCTTAACTATTTTCTATTGGAAAGTGACACTAAGATAGATTATAGCTGAATAGAAGTGTACAGCAGAAATAATAAAACATATAACTTTAATGAAAATACTACGGCTATGGAGTGACTCTTTCCTCTTATCAAAACCGTTATTATAAAGTTTCGAAGTGTAAACAACCACTTACAATTATAATGTATTTAGAAATCTTGGAAAACATTTCCACGATGAACTAACAGAAATGAAACCCTTAACCAACCGGTGAAAATGTCTGATTATCTGTGATTCTGAGATTAAAACGAAATGTCTGCAGGAATGCATTTTGAAAAATTAAATGCAAATTGCAATAAAATAATTTCTTGTTATGTACTTCATTTCCAAAGTGAAGGAAGTTCAATTCATCACATACAGTCAAAAATGAAAATGAAAAATGAGTAAATTCACCTCTCCAATCGGTATCATTGCTACTATCAGTGCGCTTCACCACCTCTACCTCATTGAACCTTTAAGGCGCAAACAGGTGCGTATTCTATTTTTGTTGCCTATGCCTCCATCTCTCCGTTTATGTATGTATATGTATGCGTGTATGTGTGTGTATGTGCATGTATGTGTATGTGTGTGTGTGTGGGTGGGTGGATGACAAGGTATGAGAGAGTCACGATGAAAATGTGTCTTTGGAATAAGGAAGCGGAATGGCGTAGTAGCTAGAATGGGAGAGGACGTTTGTTGGTATATGATCGATTTGTAATAGAGATATTGAGCTTTTCCTTCTCTTCAGATGCTGCTGCTATTATAGATGAGAGAAAGAAATTATACAATGGAATTAAAATGAATTTGAATTACTAATTTAAATTGCAAAAATTATCATGATAGAACAAAATTTATCTTTGGAAACTTATTATAAAATTTTATCCCCTTTACAAAATTTTGGTCGGGAATGATTAAAGCCGGAAAGATAGCAAAAAAAAGAAAAGTTAATTCTCAAACAGATTTTGTTAGAATATTCATAGTGATAAGTTGCACAGGTAAAGAAATTTAATAACATAGCCCAATGTAACCAATTTTAATATAAAAAGTTAATGAATAAAAAGATACCGAATTTAATTTAAAATTTGAATTATTCGCAGTAAAGCACTCGCTGATATTTTCCAAAAATAGCGTAAATTCACTGACTGAAATGAATTTGCTCAACATTTCATAATAAATTTCCGGCTCTAGATTATGCCAAAATTAAGAAGTTTCCTAATAATTATATTAATAGAACTAATAGCCAATCATTTCAAATTTAATTAACACTGATATAGACCAAAAAAGAACAATGATGCGGTATCTTAATAAAATGCTCAACAAATCTTATAAAATTTCAACACACTCATATCTATTACTTTATAATATTGGTAACGATGAATGTGTCTGTATGTGTGTGTCATTTCATTCATTTAAATCAAAAAAGTAATCCTAAATGTCATTCATGTACTCAATCAAAGTCAACTGCTTAATGTTGAATGAATTTTTAAAAGCATACCAACTTCATGAGTAATCAAAAAAAGACTGTGTGGATTTAAAAACATTCACACCTATTACCTCATTGTCTTCTGATCAAAAAGATTAATTGAATAAGTTTAAAGTTATGAAGGAAAGACGATACAAATTACTAATGTAGTAATTTGTTATATGATATTCTTTTTATCAGAGATCATATATCGTAACTGTTGCCTGTGACGAAATTAAGAAATCTCACCAAAGTATAATAAACTTGAAAAATAAACTGCTTTAATCTTTACCAATATTTCAGTTTCGTTCAATATAATATGCATCTCTTAAAATTGCTAGAAAAAAAATGTTTGATGAAAAAGTATGCACGTGAAAATCATTTCATATTTTATCAGACTATAATCTCATTATTAGAGCAATGAAAAACGTTTTCCTTTTCCTTTCATTAGCTATAATAACCATAATAACGGATAAAGCACTTGGCAGAAATTAATCAAGTAAGAATAAAAAATCATATAATTCGGTTAGTTAGGGTTTTAAAGCAACTTTGATTTGATATAATCAGGTTAGTCAAGATTTATGACATCCATAAAAAACCTAAAAAAATTGTTTCTACCACTATTCTCAGTTAAGTCTAACGGTGCATTTGCATCAATAAAATAACTGCGCACTCGATTACATGCCATTTTGAGAAATAGCAATTGAATTGAAACAATTTCATTTTTATTCACCTAATCGACTACAGTTGTAATGTCAAGGGCGCCCACCCAGAAAACAGCGCATTCTTTTGAAAAACTAACTCGTCATCTCATTTGTTTAGATTTTTTTTTTCAGAAATTATAGCTTAATAAATAAAAGATACATTTTAGCTTTCCTGTCCCTTAATTGTTCAATTTTATAACAACTAATTTTCAATCAAGTAAATCGACAAAATCAATGACTAATTGATACTGAATTTCTCCAGAGAAAGAGGTTCTTTCGGTAACTTTATCACTCTGAGGATGATGTGAAAATGAAAATCATTTTATATTAAAACCACACTGAATTACTAACTGATTAGCCGATGAAAATTTCAGAACGAATGATTTGCGTGACAGCAGAATAACTAATATACATCTGCAGCTGCTTATGAGCCGATCGTAAAAAACCACCAGACGGATATTTTTCTTTTTTAATAAAATGTAACCATATGTTTCCTTTTCAACCGATTATGCAATTGAAATTGGCAGCCGGGAAAAGAATTCATAATATCATGCACATTTTTGTTATGCCTCAATCCCTCAATTTCGTAACTGTTCTTTGCACCATTCAACTAGAAGCCAATTACACTTTTTTGTCTGCTACTTTAAATTTTCAGATATTGAGCTCTATACTATTATCATACATTTCCTCTCATTTCACTTCAAATCTTTTGATATCAGTTATTTATCGCCATAAATTAAATAGATCATTTATTTCCAATTAATTAACTGCTGAAAATAGCAAAAATTAATTCCCTTAGCAAAGCTGTGCTACGTATATAACAATTAAGTTCCACCTTTGCAATAACTGATATCCCTAAAACCTGTCATTAAATCAAATACCGAGAAATTTCTAAAAAAGTATAAATGAGAAGTGTGTTACATTTAAATGTCATCACAAAATAGTCACTTTAACGCCTGGAAACCTTAATTACCACATCTCAAAAACTTGATATATCATATCCAATAAAAACGATCCATTCAGTTTATTTGATATTCCTTAGTCTTAATTGCAATGCATGTTTTCACAAACCAATTATGGAAATAATATATGTATATACTAACATAAGCAGAAAACGACCACAATCTATGAATCTCTACAACTTTCACCAATCAAATTAACTAACCTCCCATGTTGTTGTCATTACGGACCCTTTTATGTTTCGACTTCTTTTGCAGAACCAACGGATCACTATGAGTCAGTTTTGATGCAACATGAATGCTCTTCAACTGGAGCAAACACATATGAATACTTATACTCGTCATGTGTTTAGAATAAATTCGCATTAATCAAAACAATGCCATAATTATTCGTATCAAAAAAAAATGAATGGAAACGCGCCGCATAAACAAATCAAAACGGAACATATGGAATCGAAAAGAGGATGAAAACAGAACGACATATTAATTGACAAAAATTGAAAAAAGTACAATAACGAGATCAACGAAATCTCATTTTATATTGAAAATTATAGCTTCAATCAGCAAAATTCGCGATCCTTACTAACGGAACCATACGATATTGTCAATTCTGTAGGAAGTTCGCTCGCAAAAAGTGCTGCCAAATTAAGCTCAAATTCAACAGTAAATATTATGAATTGCATTAAAATTTTAAAAAGCACAACAGGAAAAATACACCAGCGGCATTAATGATAATCGTAACTAAAACAGCCCTTAATACGCAAAACACCCATAAAATGCTTCCAACAAAAGGATAGGATTTGCAAGTTAAAAAAAACCAATATTCATACAAAACGAATCGAAAATGCAGAAAAGAAACAATATTCAGAAAACCCCAGAATCACTCATTAACTACCGTTCCACTCAACCAAAATAAAACTTTCTAGTATTGGTTCAGCAAAAGCACAAAAAACATCCTCAATATATCTTCCGCTATGGGATATTATTTCTCATTTCACTTATTCAGTCATACCACCCACTTATGACTATACAATAAAACTTGACCTCCCCATAATGCTGTCTCTACTTCCTACCTTAGAACCACTACTTCACTAGCAAGCAGTACTTTTGCGCAAATGCTCAACAACTGCACATGAGACGGCCGCCGCGTGCACATCACATCATCACTCTTGAATTCCTCAGTTCTATATCCAGTACCAAATTTCGAGGAAAAGTAATTATCTCTGCATGGATAGTTATTATCTCCCCGCACACAGAAATCGAAGCAGAACTTTCTATTCATAAAACAGAATTTCTATGACATTTGCTATCAAGAAATAAATCTGTAATTCTGAGGTTAAATATGTCGCCAACATATAAACCACGTTTCTGGATTGTAAACACAGAAGCCACGCTGTTAACAATGAATAACATTGAACGGGCACTTTTCCTTGTTTTATGAAATATAACGAACGGAGAAAAATGTGCAAGAACTGGCTTAAAAAATTGCTTCTGTAATTGAAAATTGCAAGTAGAAATAATCTACACTTTAGAACGCACCAATAATAGCCAGGAAAAAAACTTCACAATAACAAAAAAACGAATATAGCATAATAGGAACGGATGCCAAGACTTATTCCTTTCCTAACCATTAACTTTTCCCTACAAAAAGCATTCCAACAACGGAAACAGGACACAAACTTGTGACGAAGAGAAGCTGAAATTTTAAGATACATCACTGATAAATTAGTTTCAAACAATATCGAAAAAAAAAACAATTACAAATGTTATTTTATATACAGAAAAAAATTTTTTTTAAGATTCAAAGTAAGAAAATTCTACGGCAAATACTCTAAAGAATGAATAAAAGAGGAAGAAAAGAGAGGACGCTCTAAGAAAAGTGGACTAAGGAAAAAGAGAAAGAGGGGGAAGAAAAGACATTATTAAAAGAGACAAACATGCACGCATCACTCAAATTACAACTGCTTTCCGCATAGAGGTAGATAAACATTCGAAACAGAAGGAACTTTGTTGGTAACGATGATGGATAGATAAGGAGTGGCAACAGATACGTAACATTTTGTTATGCGAATAGGAAAAATAGCCGAACTATGCGCGGTCTTTTCTTCCTCCACTAACACACCATGATTTTACTTTCTCGGCGTATAAAAGCAATGGATAATCAAATATTCTCCTCAGGTATACTTCATATAATCAATCATTCCATTACACAGCAAAATTAACCAAGCATCGTTTCATCTTAAACCATAAAATAAAAATCCACAAAATCAAATTCTTATCCAAAATCAGTACTAAACCCCTCACGGAAGTATATGGATGTTATGGGAGTAGTTAAATATGAAATCAACTGAAAAGTTAAAATCTTCAAAATGAACAATATTTCATTACGCTGCATCAAATACCACTGTTGCCCTAGTGCATGTCATCTTCATCTTCTTTAGTAATAAACTTTTCACATAGCATAAATTTTTAATAATCTGGAATTCAAGAACATCTTTCATAAAATAAATATATCACTTAATATAGCAAAAACGAACCAAGTATATTTCTACTGCAGAAGGCATTTCACAGACTAATTCAACTTGGTAAATATCTCTTTGTAATCCAATTGCTCAACATTCTTCTACACTGATAGTGATGGAAATAAAAAAATTTAGAAATACCAAGCCTGATAACAGTTGTTTCTGCCCAGAAGGGCAACAGTGGAATATATGCAACCATAACATTAAATTTCAAAAGTGAAACAAGGAGCTTAAAGAGCGAAGCTTGTGAGACATGATTGGAAATTGGCATAATATACTTTGCGCCCTTTCAATCACTTAGAAAGTGGAAACAAGAATAAAAATTCATGGTGAATCTATACACAAAACAAACATTTGAAAAATGAAGAATTGACCTGTAACAAGTTCAACAATGTCATGTAATCCCACATATAATGATAATGGCAATCAATTATCAACTTCTCTTCATTCATTCGTCTCCTCCTAAAATAATTAACTTGAGCTTTTTACAAAACAGCACTTTCTTTCCCCTGACTACTATCTATGTAATGACAGAAGAAACGCATGCATAAATCAAGACAAATTAAATAACTTTATAATTTTTTGTTTTTTCCATATCCGAATTCTTAGACATATTAAGTTTCATTTCCTTCTAGAAATAAAAAATGGAATCATAATAAGCAATAGAAGTAACATTAATTATAAAAATATATATATGAAAATATTACTGCTTAGTGCATTTTAGCTGCTGGAGCACGACCACGTTTTTTAATCGGTGTTTTGGGTGAGTGCGCTTCAGCAGCATAAGCAGCAGCGCGTCGCTTCGAAGGAGCAGGCTTGTAGGATTCCTCACCAGAACCAGTTGAACCACCAGCATCATTATCCGATAAATCCATTTCCTCATCGTCATCATCGCTCTCATCTTTGTTACTCTTTTTTCCTGCAAAATTCCGATTCATAAAGAAACACAAGTATAATTACCAAAACATTTCGGATGTAGTTAACTTCTGGAAGACCTAAAAAGATAAGAAATGAAAAAAAGATCATGCATTATTTTGTACAATATTAGAGATAAAAACAAACCCAAACTTCGAGTTGGTCTTCCACGACCTCTGCCTCGTCCCCGACCTCGTGAGCCACTACTTCCTGCGCGTTTTCGCTTTTTGTTACTGCCATATTCAGAATCGCTATCTTCTCCATCATCGCTGTCAGCTGCCGCTCGTTTACGTCCAGTAGATCGTCCACCTCGACCTCGGCCGCGGCCCCTGCCACGACTTCGACTAACTTTTTGTTGAAGCTGAAACTGTAACAAGCTTGTGATCGTATCAATAAAACAGATGAAATCGCCGAATGTTTGCAAAACATTTATCAAATAAAGAATTAAATTTCTTTTATGATCGGTAATGAACTACTCAAGCTATTATTTTTAACGGATGAAGAAACTTCTCCGGATAATAAAAAACAAACAAAAATATGCTCCTAAATAGCTGGTATTTTTCATCCAGGATACACAAAACCTCCTATAACAAAAGATATCTATCTTTTCGGGGAGCTCTATGTTAGAAAATCATAAAAAACATAATTTCCTAACAACACAACACCTCATTTTCCAAATCTTCTTGCTCAGCAACTACAGTTGCTACATCTGGATGAGCGTAGTCCACATTTGACCGTGTCGAACGACGAGGGCGACCAGATGCCAAAGATTCTGGCTGCGGTGGTTCGGCAGCAGCTTCCTAAATCTTATAAATTATTCCCCCGCAAGAAGATGAATAAAAAGATTTGATCTGAAATAAATTTACCGGTTACTGATACTTAGAAGTCACTGACATCCCTAATGAAACGCGTAAATTTACAACAAACAGCAGATCGTTTTAAAAAGCTGGACTGCGTCAAAGTACAATTAAATAAAAAAAAAGATTCTCAACACTACACCATTTTATGTTTACCAGGTGATGGACTTCGCTTTCTCAACTAAGTTTTGACATACATTATGGAGCTTAGCTACTGCTCGCGTCCCTTTCCTACCACGTCCTCGTCCTCGAGCACCACTAGCTGGTTCATTTTCTGTGACAGCTACAGCCACATCTTTTTCATCCGTCTCTTCTTTTGGGCTTGGAGGTGCATCTGCGTCCTGCACCATCCATTTTGGCAAGATACGTTTCGCACTTCCCTGAAACTCACATTCTTCAAGAATTAATAAATGAAATACATTTCAAATAGATGGAATTTCTTGAAAACTACCTAGTATAAGACATAACAAAAATGTAGTCCATTTCAAAAGTAAATCTTCGAAGTACTACTTACTTCCTCTTTTTTATCGGTGGTATCAATTGCTTTATCTTCTGCTTTATCTGAAACATCTGTATCTTCCATCTTTTCTTTTTTCTGCTCTTCGCCTTCTCCTTCCTCAGTATCCGTTTTGTCATCGCCTTCATCATCAGTCTTCGAGCCATCGACTTCTTTACCAGAATCATTTCTCACCTCACTCGACTCCTTATGATCACCTTCTTCCGAATTACTCTTCGTGTCTGTATCCATATGCAATTCGTCAGGAGCAGCACTGCTCTATAAATTTTAAATTTAGGGAGCAAGAAATACAAAAGATCCATGTTTGGATCTCCCACAACATGGCAGCCAACAATGCAAAGAAGGATGAAAACTAAAATTTCATAAGAATCAAAGGCTCAAAACCCTACAATATACAGAAAAATCACACAAAAAAAATCCCTCTGTCCTGTTAATGAAAGATCCAGGTTTATAATTTAGCTGATTTCTCCTTCTAAATTTATCTGCAACAATAAAGGAAACAGAGAGAAGCAGTTCTAATTATATAAAATGGTAATGCCACCCGCTACAAATGTGATTATATTATATTTTCTACGTTGAAGCCTTTAAAAATAATTAAGATATGAGATTTAACGATAGAACTTTAACTTACTGGTGGAGGAGATGAGCCAGCTGAAGCCGCGACGCTGTCATGTTTTTCCGATTCAAGTGCTTCACTAGTATTTTCGCTTGATCCTTCTTTCAGCTGAAACTAATCTTCCAAAATACATGTCAGTTTATATTTACAATGTTTAACTACTTCTGACAGTTTAGATCTGATTACATATCAGTGTTTGTTCCATTCATTACAACTACGAATATTTTCTTCAAGTTATGGTGAATGAGATAAGCATTAATCAAACTGAAAGCTACGATAAATCTTACATTGTATTTATACTTTCATTTCTATGTCATTACAATTTTCATAAATGATGTTTTATGGTAATTTTGTAAAAACTACAAAACGAACCTCTATTCTTTGATCTTCAGTGGCGTCCTTACACACCTCCTCATCACCTACATCTTCTGCAGACCCTTCAGCCCTTTGTCCCGAAGAAGCCTGAATTAAACAAACGTACACCTTTAATCATATTTTTGCTATGGTCAGCTGCAAATACCATTTGCAAAAACCCCGTAAAAGAGTGAAAAATTCTCATTAACCTCAGAAATTATATGCAGATTATCTCCGTGCTCACTGTTCAAAATTTGCGCGCATCCTCCTTTCTGCTTTTGTTCCATGCCTTTTTCACCATTTGTAACCGTATCAGTTATAACTGAACTTGCTGTAAATGAGAATGCTGACTATGCTAAATTTGCAACTGCACTTCATCTTCACAAACTATTAGACCTTCCCTAAACCAATTTTCATGAATAAAGTGTTAAATTTAGTCCTTAAGAGAAATGATACAAAAAGAATTCAAAAATCACCGTGTGAAAAGCCCACAGCTTGTGGGTCACTACGAGAATGGTCAACCGACTTGTCACTATTTCCTGGGAAACTTTCCGACGATTCGGCGTCCATTGACGATATTGAACTTTACAATCACAACCGATTCTTTATTTAAACCAAATCCGCTCGATATTACTAAATACTATGCAAATATAAAAAAAAGTTACTGACTAAAACACCTTTCGCAAACTTTTAATTTTTTTAAAGCTCCATACATGTGCACGACTCACGTAAAATCGAGGCGATCTATTAAATCAACTAATTTTGATTAACAGATAACGACACTTCTCTATGCGTTAGAAAATTATCTCTAAAACTTATAAGTATCCCATGAAATATTTGTAAAACAGGAAAAGTAAATAAAATATGTAAGACATCATATGCAAATATGGTATAATACTAATTAATAATACTAACTAATTAATTAATAACACTTACGCGAAGGAAAATATAAAGGTGAAGCAAGATATATTACTAGCTCACTTTCTATTAGCTGCTGCATCTAAACTATGAACGAGAAAACAAATATACACCGTTCCATGTTTCATTAAGTTATAAACTCACGATTTATAATGACCAACTGCTTACACTATTCAAATATGAAAACAGTTTGTGAAAGTATCACTTCATGAATATTAAATGTCCTATCCTAGTTAAAGGAATCGCTAAAATCTCATCAAATTCGAATCAAATTCGAAAGTAACTGCCATCATCTACCAAACGAATCACAATTAGTCAGAAAGAGTGGGAAGTGCAGAACAGTTCAAATTTAAAATAGGAGAACAGACACAGATGATAGATTAATGTGAAAGTTTTTGACATAATTTAAAAGTTAGTAAATATCAAGAATCTAAGGTCCCTTGCTGAAAAATATTAAAAAATTAATGGCTAATTGCAGAAGTACAGATACCATCTAAGACAAGAATATGTACGATTATAACAGCGTCAATAATCAAAATGATAACAAAAAGGGCAGCGATAAACCAGCAGTGATAAAAGAACTTGAACACGATCAATGGTAATGATTACCACAACTTTTGCGAGAACGAGAAAAATCGAGAGTTTATAAATATTTCAAGATTTAATTCGAAACTTTTTTCAGATACAAAATTATATCCAATGAATAGAGTTCACTATCACATATAGTGAAACTTACCTCTCCTGCTATCTTATGAAGTGGTTAAAATTTAAAGAACTATCTTGTTTTCAAAAAACCTCAAACTAATATTATGTTAGAGCAGAGGGTAGAGAACAGATTATTACGATGAAAATATCTGCGAAATGGAGAAAACGCAACGAAGGAAGGATAAAAATAACATAAAGTTGAAAGATCAATTATGAGGACAGTATCATAATTTCAAAAAGATTAAAAAAGTACCGATAAAGATATCAAAATTGAACACTACTATCATTTTCCAGAAATTAAAAGTCCAAGAGAACCTTAACAAGAAAAAATCCCGTAGACATCAGTGGAAAGTGCAAATTTATTGTCAACAATTGTTCAACAAGCCACAAGCAATGAGAGGGTGTAAGAGAGCGAGGGAGGTAAAAACAACTATTACGAAATGTATGGTCGCCATGAAAACAAGGGACTTTCTTAAAATAACATATACTGTAATTAACAGTATAAATGATGGCGTTTTGCTATATAAATTAATGCAATAAAATCTGCCCAGCAAATTATTTTCCTTCTCTTTCCGAATTATTTCATTCTTCCTATATTAACTAATTAACAGCCCTTCTTTTTTCTTTTTTAAACCATATCTTACGACAGTTATATTTATTAAGAATTTCTAAGATTGAGAGAATTCACTAATCTGAATAAGTCAAACACGCCATATTCAATCAATGCAATACTTCATCATAACCTAACCATTAACTGACAAAATTTAATTACTATCCAGCGGTCGAAGATTAACTGCAACTACAAATGGGACGTAAAAAAGACGTGAATGCTTGGGTCAGCACAGATGAAATAGCTCTCACATCAATGAGAACTAGCAGACAATTGATTTAATGGACAATAAAAGGCAATATCGGAAATAAATCAATGGGTATAGGGACAATATGCAATTCTGACTTTAATTTCGCAATATTTTTGAAACGGAAATAATAGTTGAGCAACAACAAGAACAACAACAATACCTGACAACCGGTACCACCGAGAAAGCAGCCAACCCCCACCACCGCGAATATCCCTCAACTCGTCCCATCAACTGCTTATCAGCTCATTTCACACGTCCCGTCCCTGTGTAATCTACTGCACATTAACGGCGATACTCCGACCGCATTACATATGCTCGCAAACCATTCCAAAATGAATATCGAGAAAGGCGCGAATTTGAAAGTATGGAATTGTAGCGTTGTGTAAATTGCTTTTCATTGTTGAAAGGAAAGCGCTTACTCGGTTGGCTTTGTTGTCATTTTGAAATTAAGCAAAATTGTTATTTGCTGAATTGTTCTATCACATTGAATTTCACTATAACAGTTTGAATTGGAAAAATGTCACCGAGGTCGCTTTCGTTTAAACGTTTACAGCAACGTTTGCGACGATCACTTTGTTATGGAAATCATCAAATGAATTCATTACCGCTTCCACTTTCCGGTGAGATATTTAATTTGAAACTTTAATTCAATCAAAATTCGACAATTTGTTAAATAAATCACTCCATTCAATATGTGTTCCATGCTTGAAACATCTGTTTTCTTTTATAAAAGTTATTTAGTTTAAGACACGAAATTGAAGATGATATGCTGTGAGCAAAGATGGTTACTGGTAGGAATTAAAAAAAATTGGACCAATATTTGGTCCAATTTTTTTATTCACTGATACGTTATTATATCCTTAAAATCAATTCAACATCATGTTGAATAATACTTCAAAATGTTTCAGAATTTGCAATGGATTATTTCAGTAATCATTGTCCGCATGATCATATGAGTATGGAGTCAGCAACTTCTATATCACGGTGTGTGTTTGCTATAAATTTTCTTTAATGCTTAGTGTGAATTAATTTAGAATTTTACTTTGATCTACAAAACCTCGTTGGAAATTCACATATGCTATTACAAAAAGATATGTTTTGAAATATGAAACCGCATTTGCTGTTTCCCTTGCATTACGCTACGCAAACAATAAATTCATCATTTTAATTTTGAAATTTATAAGAGTTTATCTGCAGTCATGGGTGCGTGGATGCATGTACATTTTTAGTAGCAATGGTATATCTCGATCGTATACGAACTGCTGATGAAAGTTGTTTTGAATTTTCTGATCCGGGTGAATTGTATCTTTCGACGCTTATAATTGCAAGCAAATATCTCCATGTGAGTGATTTTGTTCACAAATTTTTTGTCCTTTTTCCATTTCTTTTTCATCAATTTTCATTCTATACGTATGCCAAATTGATGATGAAGTATATCAAAATGTTTTGTCTTAAAACATTTGCTTTCACTTTGGCGTCAATCAGTTTGTTTTTTTATTTGTTAGAGTAAAATCCGAGAGGCTTTTAGTATTAGCATTCATTGCACAGAGTGTTTTTTTTTTCAATAGTTTTCTTTAGTATCTTTTTCTTTTTCTAATTCTTATTCACCATAATTGCATATTTTCGGAATTTTTCTGGGCTTATTCTTGGGAATTTCCCGAAGTTTTTGTTTTCAAATCTAACAGTTTGAAGAACATATATCGGGGAAAATACGGTATACTATTTCCAACTTTCGGAGCTATTTAAATTTTGAATCAGTAGTAAAAGGCATAACTTGTTATGGAGAATCAATCTTAATGAAAATTCCATAAATCATACTTGACACATAAATTGTTTAATTGACCGTTCGACGCTACCATCTTTTCAGGACGTTGGACAGCGAGAATACATTTACAATGATGAGTGGGCTGCGTTAGCCAGTATCTCTCTGAAACGAGTCAATGAAGTGGAACTAAATGTTCTGGATGCTATAGTGTGTTTTTCAGCACTTTTCTTTAGTATCTTCTCACTAATTCTTTTCACCATTATTGCATATTCTTTGGGTTTTTCTAGGCTAATTTCTGGAAATTTCCCGAAATTTTTGTTTTTAAATCTGATAGTTAGACGAACACATCTCCGAAACAATACAGTATTTTCAGCTTCCGAAGCTACCTAAATTTCGAATCATTGATGGAAGTTCAATTTGTTATGGGGCTTCAGTGTTAATGTTAATTTCTTAATGAAATTTCTTCGTATGTAGATTGTATGTATTATTTTTTAGCACTGGAACACCATTGTAACTCATGTGGAATTTATACGAATATTGGAAGAAGTAGAAGTATGGATAGCAAATGACAGTTTGAAAAAACGCGGATTTTGTACATATAACGAAATAGCTGTACTTCTCTCGAGGATCAGTTTCATACCTGATTGCGTCAAACCGTTAATGTTATCACTTGCTGCACTTATTTTTATTTATGCTACCGCACTTACTTCACTTCTTATTTGCCAGCAAATTACGGTTTCAACAAACATCCAACGTAAGTTTGGGGATTTCTCATTTTTTTATAATATCAAACTTTACTGATCATCATGTCTTGCTGAAATTTTCTTTGAATTTTTTTGTTATGGACATTTGCATTAATGCAAAAATTTACTGCATTCAAGTGTGGTATAGATAATTTTGAATAAACAGAAAAGAAGAGTTGGAAACAACATCATAGTTTTGAATTTGTTTTTTACGTTTATCAAAAAAATATCAAAGATTATATAATTTCAGACAACTTGGTAAGAAGCGATGGATATATACTATCCATCACTCCCACTGCTAACAACACAAAGCAACAACGAAAAGCTACCTTTTCTCTTCTACAGGATAATTTTTACGAGTGGTACACACCCTATGGTCAGCGTGCTTTTTGCGTCTTATTAATGTCAAATGTCGCTGTCAAATGTAATATATTACTTAATCGGACTGTTTTTGAGGAAAATGCTTTTTCGGTCTACAGTTTATACAGTTGAAAGATCTGTCATTTTACTAAAATTTATTTGCTTTGAAAATTATTTTCTGTAATTGATTACAAGTTCAACTCAAGCTGCTATCATTTTTGGTTTTTGTCCTTTTTTTTTCATTTTTGCATTTTTGCTTTTTTTTTCATTCCATTTGGGTAACTGAAATGTAATTCTGTATTACGGAGTGAATTGTAGTTTGCGGGGTGACATTAGAGGGATTCTTATGTGACTTTTATTTGAGAAAAGTTTTATACATCTTATATATTTTAATGATTTTGATGCAATTTGTCTTAGTTTTTGCTCAACAATTTGTAAGGACATATAACGAAGCTGTATTTATTTCGAATATGTTGCTTTCATAAATGAAATTTGATAAATTTTATTAAAAACATTTGGATTTGTAATTTTATGATACATGTTTGCGGGGGAGGGGCTTTTTTAATATTAATACTATTTCTCAACGATCAAACAAGATTTCTGAGATCTTGTTCTACTGGATCTCTTTTATTTTGAAAATTTCGTAGAAAAGTTGTTCATTCACTTGAATATACGACTGGCTTTTGGGGAATGAACTTGAGTGATAGGAATATTCTTTTGACCCTTATTTCTTTTGGCAAGTTACTCAATAGTACTCACTAAGAATATTGGAAATCATAAAATTATAAGAGAAGTGAAAAAAGATTTTCAAATCTAAAGCTAATGAGATGTCCAGAGTTCTGAGGGCATATTTTTGATTTTCATAAAGTTCATGGGAGCATAAAAATCTTCATTTTGTACATTCCGAATTACATTCCATTGTAGATTAATTCCTGGCCTACTGACCTTTGTGTTAAATCTCAAGAACTGGAGGAAAATAGATTAAAAAGGAAGGCGGAGAAGGGAAACGACATTTGTCCTAGATTGTCTATTCTTAGAGAATTATAATCATCATATGAGACCCTTTTGGCTGCTATTATACTAGTCGTTGTGTCCGTACGATGCGAACTTGCGTGATTGGTACTGGGATAAGTGGCTTGCCTGCTATCAAAGAATGTCGTGCCGCTGGTCTCAATGTAATAGCCTACGAACGTACCGGTGACATCGGAGGCTTGTGGAATTACCGTCCTGAATTGACCGTAAGTTGACCTTTCAAACCCTCAGTTTTATTTAGATTTGAACTTAAATATTTAATTTTTGAAATTTTTTGGTGATTCGACAATTTTTTTGTAATTTCGTGTCAAGGCCAATGGGACTATTAGGCAAGTATCTGTAGACAAAATTATTATCAGATTTATCCTCAACAACATATAATGATATTCACTTTAATGTACATTATTTCGTGAGGAATTTTAACCAAAAAGTGAAATTTGATGGTGGAATGAGAGATGACTTCTATATAACAAAATTTTAAAAATAAATTTAGGAGGGAGGTACAGTGATGAAGTCAACGGTGATGAACACATCAAAAGAAATGTCAGCTTATTCTGATTTTCCACCACCTGCTAACTTTTGCAATTTTATGCACCATTCAAAAGTTTTGGAATATTTGAAAAACTATGCCAAAGCAAATAACTTATATCAATACATTCAATTTAATACCACAGTACAGCAGGTAATTTTTACAAGATTATTCAGAAATAGGTCCAAGAAAATTCAGCAATAAATATCCAATTTCATTCAAATCATTTAATTCATTTAAATTTATATAAGACATTAAGCAAACATTTAATATTTAAATTTAGAGGACTCGCGCTTTTATTTTTAGGTTTCACGAGTGGGCAATTTTTGGGAAGTAAAAACAAGTAATGGTGATAAAAAGCTATTTGATTATATAATGATATGTACTGGACATCATAGTATCCCACACTATCCTCAAATACCTGGTATACTTTATTATTTCCACAAAATCTTCATTTGAGAAATATTTAAATATTTTATGGATACCAAAATACTGGAAATTCTTCTGTTACTTGTTTAAATAACTAAAAAATTCACAATCCTCTAATTATAATAGATTTAAAAACATCAAAATTTTTTGAAATGTAATTATCATAATTCTGAGCAATTATGTAGAATTATCTGAAAAAATCAGGGATTTAAAAAAAAAGACACTTTTATCATGGAGTTGGTAATTCGCTCTTGACATTGCTGCAATTGTTCGAGTTTCAAAGTTGGTTAATAGCATCGCGGATATGCAGGAGAGAATTTAATGACTCTTTGTTTCTTGAGTGAGAACCAAATTAATGATCATTCAAAATTTAAGGTTTGAAAAATGTAACCGGATATTCATCTTTTTGATTGATTTTGCTGTACATTGTTATCTTACCCATTCCTAAATCACAATTAAGACTAATCGATAAAGTTTTAAAATCATAGTCTGAAATGTTCAGCAATTCATTAATTATTAGCAAAAAATTCTTTTTGCTACCAGTATTGATTTGAAAGTGAATTGTTCAGTTTTATTTAGGAAGTGAAAAATTCAAAGGACGCATTCTTCATTCCCATGAATATCGTGATTACAGAGGATTTGAAGAAAAAGACATTTTTATTGTTGGAATTGGTAATTCGGCTCTTGATATTGCCGCAGAATTATCCAGAGTATCGAAGTCGGTTAGTGCTACCGCGGGTATGCAGGGGAGAATTTACTGGCTGTTAGTTTCTTGAATGGGAGCCAAATTGATGGTTATTCAAAATTTAATATTTGAAATATAGCTAGATTCATCTCTTCTGATTAATTGTGCTGTATATTATTATTTTAATTTCTAAATTTCTAAGTCACGCGACTAGAGTTTTAAGATCGTAGCTCGAAATATTTTCTAGTCAATCCAATTAGATATTTTAAAGACATTTCATGCATACATGATATTTTAAAGACCCTAATTTAGGTGACAGTTTCCACTCGACGTGGTTCGTGGATATTTAATCGTGTAAGTCAAGGAGGTATTCCTAATGATCTAAAGATGATGACTCGTTTATATAACTATTTGATGGATAAATTGCCATGGTCAGTTGTTAACGATTTCATGGAACATCGTTTACAGGTTTCTAGCTAATCTGTTAAATTTATAAATAGCGGTGAATAAATAAATTTATGACACAAATTTAAATTCCATAAATTCCAGTTATTCGTTAAGGCAGATTGGCAAATTATTATTTTTTTTTCTTTTTATTCAAAATATTTAATTCCTTTTATTCTACAATGAATAATTATGACACTTTCCGACAGAAACAGTATGTTAAATACGAGCGAATTTACTATAAAATGTATTATATATTCTTTCTGTTTTCATTTTCTTTTTTAATTACATCTTTCATCTGTTTTGCCACTTGCAAATTTCATAGTTTAAAAGATATTTTTGGTGATTGTTTAAGTTACGAATAGATCATGAACTGTATGGACTTCGACCCAATCATCGATTTCTACAACAACATCCTACTATCAACGATGATTTACCCAACCTTCTTTGTAGTGGACGAATTGTTATTACGGTAATTTTTTAACACCATAATGAATTGTTTTCTTGGAAACTGTTTTATCCGAGTATTCCATTATTTATTGTTCAGGAAGATATTGAATTAATTCATGAAAGGAGTATTGAAGTCAAGGGAGGACGTCAATTTCCAGCTGATGTGATTATTTTTGCAACCGGCTACACATTTGGTTTCCCATTTTTGCATCCGGAATTTATTATACCAATAAAAGTATGTGCTGGCAATTTTTCAATATTCAATTCAAATTATTTAGAAGACAGCAGCATAAATCAATAATAAAGCAATTTAAAATAGCTTTGATCAAATTTATTCAGTATTAGAGAAAAATCATGTTTATGTTAGAATTTGAATTAATTTTAAAAATTTTCCCTTTAAATCGTTCCATTCTTGAAAAGTTTAAGATTTTCTTTCAAAGCATCTCTTCCAGGATCATGAAGTGGAACTATACAAATATGTTTTTCCGTTGAAATATCATTCTTTAGCGGTTATTGGTCTAATCCAACCTATTGGGAGTATTTTACCAATATCTGAAATGCAATCTCGATGGGTTGCTGCTATATTTAATGGTCAAATTAAATTACCTTCTCATGCAGATATGTTGGCTGATATCAAACTGAAGCAAGCTCAAATTAAGAGAAGGTTATAGCTATGCTCGTAAATTGAATTGATTTTTGATAATCACTTTCTTGTTAACCGTATGTCCGTAGGATGGCTATATTGTAAAATGTAGCGGTATGACTCTATAACAAGGTTTACTGTAACAGAGGTAATACCGATGACTTTAAAGCAAATCAACATCTCTTTTTTATAACAGATATTTCAAAAGTATGAAACATACTTTCCAAGTGGATTACATCAAATACATGGACGAAATTGCTGAACAAATAGGTTGTAGGCCTACTTTAATGAAGGTAATTTTTGAACTTATATTTGTATCGAGTTTACATATATGTTCTATGCACACATTTTTGTTTCGGTTTTTTAAATTATTTAAAATTTCATTGTTAAAATTTTTCTTACATCATTTTTTCAATTCTATCTGACTCCTTTTCAGTATATATTCACAGAGCCCAGTTTTTGCCTTCGACTGTTTATTGGTGCTAATGCACCATATGTTTATCGACTTGAAGGTCCTGGATCTTGGAATAAGGCGAAGGAAACGTTAATGAACCTTCCGGAACGTGTCAAAGTTCCACTGAAGAACAGAGAATGTTACATGAAACGATATAAAAGACGCGGGAGAATTGTAAGTTTGACAAAATTGATCATTACTCCTACGGCAGATAACTAATCAAAAAAGTAAAGGTTGGACACAAGAAATTTTCATACACTAAAATTTTAATTGAAGTTTAAATTTACATACTGATTTTGACGAAATCAAAATGTAATTAGAGAATATCATAGGATGAGTATTTCCGATATGTATCCATGAAATGGCTTGCTGGATGGACGTGTGTGATACTCGTCACAGGTATTTGGATATTCTGCACAGATTCTCGTAATCTCACTACACTTGCATATACTACAAATGTTGCCATTTTCTTCGTATTCTTTTCACTCATTCTACTATGGTTTGATTTACAGTATGATATGTCCACGATTTTTTAAACAAATTTGGTGAGCAAAATCTACGCTTCTAAATATTATTAGTTTTTGTTTATTTAAAGCATAAATGATTAACACCTTCGCTTCTTTTCCGCTGATTACCCGTACGAGAATTGTTCCATAAGTCTACATCTTCGTAATCTTTTCCTTCCTAAGTGTGCTATATTTTATGTCATATCAACGGTGCATGATAAAGTTTAACTCTTCACTTCTCGCTGTTTTAATTATGGTCCGTGATCAATTCAGTCTTAGTCGAAAAGTATTTGAAAAATTGTATAGCATGAAAGCCACTTTTTTCCTTTTGCGAGAAAAAAATGCGAAAATATCAAAATGAGAATAAAAGTTTACTATATAGTTAACAAAACATTTCATTATTTAAAAATGAAAATTGTTAGAATGGAATTTAAAACTAGAAAACAATTCCCCGGCGAAAAAACTGTACAAAACCCGTAATTCTTTAAAAATCACTACCTACAATGATAGAGCAGTACACAACTTTGCAAGACACGAATATTTAATTGTGATCCACTGAGTGTATGCTTTCCTTTCCTTTATCTTTGTATGATGGAACTTTGTATGAATGTCAAATACGACTCAAACAATATACAGAAGCGATTATCACCGACTTTCAGTCTTCGTAATCGTATAATAATCAAGCACTTTGTGACAAACCTAGAATCACTTCAAATATTAATGAAATCTATTGTTTTCGATAAGACTTAAAACAGTTTAACTAACTAGTATGACCCATGAAGTGGCAAAGCCGTATGCTAAATACAACTATTAATAAAAATATCTCGTTAAATTCATCTATATGCTATAAATGGCTTGACTTGGACTCTAACAAACAAAACAACATTAAAAGTACTTCATATTTCGATAGCCAAATTAGTTAGATTTACTTCTGTGAAACAATAATAATTTTTCATCATATGGTAATGAAAAATTATTACTATTTCACACAAGTGATAGTTTTGGGCAAATTCTTGAGAAGTTAAGAGTACAGCAGCAAATAAGATAAACGACAAAAAAATAATTAGCATTCATGAAAAGAAGTTTTGAAATCAAAATATCAAAAACACAACTAACATCTTCCATCATATCAGAAGTTAAATTGGCAACAAACTGATCCCACCACTGTTCACCTGGCTGCCTATCAACCCAGTCACAGTTATCCAGTTTCGTCATTTTTAAAGCCATATATATCAGCGAAATGGCAATCACCTGAAAGTTATTGTAAAAAACACTTCTATTCATTTTCAAATCATTCAGTTTTTCAAGGACAGTGCAAAATGTCATACGAATTAAAAAGGTTATTCCATACTCACGCTGAAAAGTTCTTCATAAGCATTTCAACAACTGCAATGATTAATTGCAACTCACATAATTAACTTCCAGTATTACTTCGTCTAGAATCATATCTGAATCTACCACAACATTTAAAATTTTAGGATATTATCAAAACAAGCAATTCCACTAGTGAATTAAACTACATAATAATATTAGTGGACCAAAATAATATGATTCTCACTTCTGGTTCCCACATAAGACATAATGTTGTTGATATTGAATCATTAACAAATGTCCACGCATTCTGCAGTATCGTCTGCTTCTTTTCCCGATCCAATTTGAAAACCTTGAAACTTTACTGGTGAGGTTATCAGATTTCAACAGATTATATCTGAATTAATAATAATCCAAAAAGCACATTCTTAAGTAATCAAGAGTGCATCAATTAAGCGTGTTTTCCGAAAACTTGACTTTCTGATATTGTAGGAGAAACGTATATGGATGATCCACATGAAGATCAAACTTAATTGTTTGCAAAAGAACTCGTTCGATACCCATTACCTCCTCCTGAAATTTAAGCCTTTCTTAGCGCCTTCATCGCGGTTGTAACTCTTATTTTATTCTCTTATTCTTATTATAATCTCTAATCACTTACAATCGCATTCTTCATATTATACAAGTCAGGATACTTTTCTTTTGCAATCAATACAATGTCTCTGCATTTCTTTGGTGTCTCTTCGACCTTTCCAGCCAAAAATAAACAACCCAAAGCTGTTAGCTGAAATAAACTTTTTACATTCGAAATCTGATTGATTTGGTATCATTGATCTTAGCGGTAGGTCTGATGAGCGCTACACCAGCTAATTTAGTTTAAAAAATGCATTTTCTTGTGCCTTGGAGAATACACACAAGTGTATTACAATTGAAATGTGCTTCACATTTAAATGACATGATTCAACAAAATGAATGTCTCGATGCTAACACAATGACAATATAAAACAAAGATATGAAATGAAGAAAAGATAAAATAAACTGCCTTCAAAAATCCTGTTTTTGACTCTAATTTATTCGTTTAAAGGTGGAAACGATGAAAATCATAAAAGACACTAAAAATGCCGTCCGATTTCTCGCGAAAATAATTCTTCGACTTTTGCGATGATAACAAAGAAAAGAAAGGCAAAACACCTACGTGTTTCTGGAACTCCTTGAAAGAATGGAACATGTAGAAACGATGAAAATAAACAGCTGCTGTTGCCAGTGTTGGATTTGGCTGTCTGAAATAATTAACCTTCCAAAACCTCTACCTATAAATTTCAGAATGAAATTAACAACCTGGATTATACGAGAAATAAATGAAGTGATTAGCAAGCTAATCAATCTACGTGAAAATCGATCCTTCAGAACAGAATTTTATGAGCTATGAATCTTGCCATGAAAATATGAAGATACAAAGAGTTTGATAGTATCACATGAATATATGCAAAAGATCTTCAAAGTTTCAAATTACAATTTCAAACCGCTGCCAATCTCGACAATAAGTTTAATTCCCTCTCTTCTCAGTCTGTCTTCCTCGGCACGATCAACTCCATCTCTTCTAGATGGTGTATTTGCAAGTTGTTCCTCGGTGAAAAGCCAATCACGACCCATTTCAGTTATTAGCTGAATTCAAAAATCCATAAGCATTAACTAAGAAACATTTTACGACCGTAAAAAAATCACTGACATCTTCCCCTGAGGTGTCTTTTGGACGAATGCAATGATATTGAAGGAAAAAAAATCAAGCTAACTCGGATCTTTCTTTACGGGTCATCAAGTCACAAAGAGTTACGCAGTATTTCTGCCAAGAAGGAAGAAAAATCGGAAAGTGAGATTCCCTTCTCGACATTACGGATCCCGACTACCTCCCAGAAATGAACAATTGTGGACGCATGTTCCTAAAAGGGAAAAACGAACAAGCAAAACCCACAACAAGTTTCAGAACCGTTTCTTAACGGGCCACGTTAGGGAGGAGCTCTTATTGTGATAGCGGATGTTGGAAGTTGTGGTGGGTTATCCGAAATGTAGAACCTGTAGATCGTGCACGACGTGTTACAACTCGTATGATAGTTGAGTAATGGTAGGATATCGAGGAAATATTTCACTTATTAATATATGCTGTGATTTTTACGTACAATTTATTGCTATAAATGTAAATTATTATCATTCGTCGATCATGTACAACTGATCCATATATTATTATTATTGTGAGCTGTTGTATCTCCCATTATCAGGATAGGTAAATGATAATAATAATAACAACTTGTTATCATGAAATATTTGTGTTTATAGTTCAGAATGTATAAAGTGGGTCACTCATCAGTACCCCGTTCAACGTTGGTTTATAATGGACGTCGAAATGTATCTGCTCGATCAGGGATTTGTTAGTTGTTTCTACTGCAAAACTTGACATAATTATAAATTTTTATCCTTGAAGATCTTGCATTCTTCTTGCTTTTCCAGTTTCCATGTAAATATGTTTATCGTCTTTTCTGCGAAGCTAAGGTGTGTATTAGTAGAATTGTTACATCAATAACAGGGTTATTTTTCATTCTTAAAGGGTGCTTCTGAGTATCGCGGCAATGACTTGAGTAGTTTGACCAGTTTGTCAACTTCTCTTACCGATGTTAGTGTTCACTTTAGTATGAATATTTTCAGATGAAAGAACACTGAACCAGTATGGTGCTGAGGGTGAGAAACCGTGCAGAAATGAAATGTATGTTATTGATATAAATATTTCAAGATCTTTAAAATGACTGTAATTTTACTGGATGAAGAAAAAAATTTCTAAAACATTGTTTTGTCAGCTTAGTGTCATCTGTTCATCAAGATTGATCAACCATTTTGTGTGGAACATGATCGGAATAGCAATATTAGAAATATTGATTTTAGATTACTATTTTCATTACTTGGAAGAAACGAGCTTTGATATTTTACATATATCCGTTGAAATTACTTCAAAAAAAAATTACTGTTCTAGGAATATGCAAATTCCAGCACTGTCTAAACGGAATCATAATCGCATGTCACCAGATGCTACGAAACGTATAAATATGGAAACAGTGTCGGTTTTAATGAAAGGTTAGTGTAAAACAAAAAAATCAAATACACCATTTGAGTTAATTTTTCTTCCTAAACATTTTGTAAAAGGATATCAATGTTGTTCTCAGAAGTTTGTGTTCCTGCAGTGATTGTTGCATTTCAGCAACCGAAGAATTTCTTCGTACTCCGGACGGTCATCCCGATAAAACCATTAAGCATTATCGACCAAAGAGAGAGCTGCCAGAAGGTCATTTTTCTGTTTGATTTTCAGAAATGGTTGTGGTAGATGTATTTTTTGAGATTAGTTGGCAATAACGGTGCTTATACTCTAAATTCTGACTTATATTTAGGCTACTTCAAATATTCACAAATACCTCATACATATTAAATAGTGTCAGTAGTCACTAAAGCAAAGCTGAATAGTTTGAGTAATGGCTATGGAAAGTTTTGTCGGGTGACCGCTGTAATCATTGTCATATATTCTTTGTTGACATAAATAATCAGAAACTGTATTTAATACCGGCACCAGATGTTAATGATTTTTGAGGGGTCTTTTTAGATGTTTATTTCCTTTTTTGAAACAGAGCAACAAAGCATCCTGTTGCATTGACCTCTGTCACATTCATTTCCTGATAAGAAAAGTTATAGACGTTTTTTCTTTTTTGAGATGAACTTTGTTTAAAAAAAAAGATTTATTTTAGATTTCGTGCCCTTCGATGTGGAAGGTTATTTAACGGAGCGTTTTCTAAGAGATGTTAACTTGGATCCAAAAATCTTGAATGGTTTTTGTAAATAAAGAAATGTTCCGACGAACTGTTGTATTTACTGGAGAGCTACTTATAGTTTGAATAGAGCTATTATGTCGAGCCGTTTTATCATCATTTTAATGAGAAAATGTTACACTGTAAATTACAATTGCTATGTCGTTTGATTTCATGTAAACAATATTTATTGATTTTAATCATCTGTATATTAATTGGAACTATGTAATTGCTGTCAGTTAAATGTGGAAATATGCCTCAAGATTTTGCAACCGGTTGCTCAGTTTCTTTGTTTCTTATATTCTGCATTTTTGTGTTGTCCGTTTTCCTTTGTTTAGTTTTTTAATTCTCAGTGATCTCGTGCTATCATAAAGCAATTTTTTTGATGCAAATGATGTGTGCTTAACTTAAAATTACTCAAACATAGGTCGAATTACCCTGTTTTCCACATCTGTCACATTCTGTCGATAAATGTCTACTTATCATATTAAAAAAATGTTAAATTACTACATTCGCAGTGATGCGCTGCTAATTGGCTGAGATGGATTGTTTATAAGTTTTAGTCCGACATTCGCAATGATTGCACTAATTGGAATTTCATGACTGACTTTTTCCGAAGGCCTTTTCAAAATTTAATTACTAGTAAGATTATCAAGAAAGGAGTCTCATTTTTCTACATAATAAAAATCGCATTAACAAAAAGTTTCACCGAATAAGTGAAGAATCGACAACTAAACTCGAAATGTTAATATCGCGCTTTATCCTCCAGTTTGATCCTCGGTTTTTGTAATTTCTGATGCCAGAATTTTGTCACTTAGATGGTTTACTTTTTCCACCTAAATAACTAATTTTGTTTGTAACAGTACTTTGAAAATTTAATTTACTCTGTAAAAATTAGCATCGATTATAAAAAGATATGAAGCAAAATTTCTGATGAATAGCTCACTTCATGTATTCCGTGATAAATTGCTTCTATAAGTTCATCACGTTCCATTTCTAGAAGGCGAAATTGCTGCAGAATCAGTTCTTTTGTCTGTTCGGACTTCCTAAGTTTGTCTTTAAGCTCATTGATAAGTAATGCACTTCTCTGAAAGCAGAAAAAGATATTTTAAGTGTAAAATAATCTCATTCCATTTTAGACTAATGTGAATACATTTGACAATGGTACTTTACTGTTTGTTTACCAAAAGTAATTCAACAGCTATTATCAAAAAAAGTCGAACCACCCATTACATGAAGCTTTTGATCCGCATCACGTTGTTTCACCAGATTTTGTTTAAATATTCGGTTTTCTTCATGAAACATGCGATTTTCCGCTTCCATTTTTATGATATTTGCTTCTGTGTTTCTCAATTTTCTTTCACAACTGTCTAACTTATCTTTCACGATTTCTTTTTCTTCCTAAAATTATAAGAATTTAAAATATTCTTTAGAAAAATAATTGGAGTGAAATAATTTAACGTGTTTTAAAATGAGTATTTCAACTTTCAGCTGTAACGAATTGTCAGTATAAAAATAAGGTTATCATATACTTCCATTCTTCTTATGTATTCTTTCAGTCGTTTTAATTCTAGATCATTTTGACGTCCAACTCTTTCTAGTTGTACCATATGATTTTGTCGCATTTTTTCGATACGTCTACGCTGCGCCTCCTTCATTTTTCGAATCTTAAACATGCAAATATAGAATTCACTTCAAATCATGAACCCTATTGTATTGTTTTTTTAAAACTTACAGCTGCATGTTTCTCATTCTTCATATTTTTCCGAAACAATTTCATGTCTGCTTCAACAGTTTTTGTAATTGCCAATTTTTGCATAATCAAATCCGAAATGCGATCAATTGATAGCTGAGAATCTTGTCTGTTTAGAAGATCTATGATATGTTCTTTAGTAATTGGTGATCTGGAATTCGGATCATCAGCCAGTATCAATTCACCTGATGGAGAGGTTTGCGTTGTTGCAATCTTGCAAATACGACCATTTGTTATTATCGTGTGCAGCTTGTTATTTAATAACTGAAATTTGAAAAAAAAATTTATACATCACATTGAATAGAATAGAGTAGAGAGATTGAAGAGTGCTTAATAATTCCTGATGAGATCAGAATTATCTCGCCTTCGAAGCTAAATTCGATGCTAAGTTATATTTATAGTTATAAGAAACAACTTCGCAGTGTATCACTGATTTTTCTGTGGTTTCTATAACGGATAAGAGTGGAATTTTCTTTCTTTTTGATTCGATAGAATTCGGGGCGATATTTTTATTTAGTTGAGAAATGACAATGAAATTTCTCAGTTCTTTAACGTCGCAAGAGGACCATTTAGAAAATGACAAACAGCGTGTTATAATCATTAAATAGGAAAGCAGAAAAAGGAGCCGTACGATTGTTGCAAAATATTTATGAGGGAATTACAGTTTTATCGGGATGAAGAGAATTCAAGAAGCATTTTCGGTATGAATTTTATTCATTATAATTATTTCTGCGATGAGAACGAAGAATGAAAGAATAAGAATTAGAGAAAACAAAGCTAACATAAAAGGATCAAAGCCCTCATCGCCATGTTGGAAGGGAGATTGTGCTAATAATTAATTGCATTATGAAAAATAATATTTAAATATGAATTTTAATGACTTATTATGTTGAATCTTACCCGCTTCTCACGTTCATAAAGGTCTTTCGTGAGGTCTGGAAGCATCATGTCACATTTATAAGTTTTTTTGATTTCATTTTTCAAATTCTTCCAAAATGGTTTCGAACCTTCATTTATGATCGCCTGTGATTCTTGTATCGTTAAGCCGGAATTCTTCAATAATAGAAATCCGATTTTTTTATGCATCTTTTAATATTGTGTACACCATGGAAAGAAAATATAAAATTTTAATTTCAGCAAAACAACAACAAGAACAATTCACTCTTAAAATTTTAAAATCCAGAAATAGCTGAAAAAACTTTAAAATCCAAAATAGTTGAAATCCCGTGCAATAAATTTAAAAGAAATTTACCGGTGTCTTCAAACCCTCAATGCTATCTTCAGATGATGGTTTCGGATCTATGGGAATCATTGCAAGGTCTTCTGAAATCTTCTAATAAAATCATCATAAGAAACAACTAAAAAAAACTGAATGAACATCAAGCAACCTTATTGGTAAAACGAACGAAAACTAAAAAGGATCGTCGGTCTACATAATTATACGATTTCCATTTTCAAATTCCATATGAAGTCGTAGAAATCTTAAAGTAATATAGTTTTTGTAAAAATGTAATAGGAAACGAATGCAATTGAGCTTGATTTAAAAAGAGAAAATTTGATCCTATAAGATTGAATGAAAATCAAATAACACTACGATGAATCCAAAATTAAAGCATTTCTTATTGCTATGGTAACAAAGTTAACTGAATACTATCATTTGGTCTTTTTACTTGATATTTTAATATATTATATTAAGGATGTCTATAGAAATTTGAAATTGTTTCAATTTTTAGTAATCCTTGCTCATCCCAATTCACTTTTCATCACCTTATCACAGTCCTTCATTTCTTTTCTTCATTATTGCCTTTGATAAATTATATCGTGCAAGAATCTTTGAGAAATCTTCCACATGAAAGTTATGTTATCGTTAAGCTCAAATGCTATCCAATCATATCATTTGATTTCTTCATCTTCACATGACTTTACCTGTTAAGCTTGGGGCTCATCTTTAGCGTAAATGTAAAACGAAATGAAATTGACAGATGATATCTAAAAATCAGAAAAGGAATGAGAGAGAGGGAGTTATCCGCGGAGTATATTTAATATTTTAAAATTTAAATTAAACTCATTTCATATAGATACGATTAAATTACTCGGTCGACTATTAAAATGACAGATAAAGTTTCTTATCAATTGCATTGGTAGATATAATCAGAGTCCCGGAGCGTTCCCTTAGATATTTAATTAATTCGAACCATGTATAAACATGAATAGCATTCAAGGACATAATTTCATTTTTCTTTCGTAGATGCCACAATGTTATTGTCAGCGAATAATCACAAAACTTCTAATTAGTTTAAAATAGATGAGAGAGAGAAAGAGAAATTAAGGTAGTCGAAACTGTTAGCACAACGCCTGTAGAACAATCATCGCCGACACAAACACAACCTTCCACAGGAGGTGAAAGGAAAAGCGAGTCGGTAAGCTTTTAAAATGTATTAAAGATTTGTTGATAACGGAAAATAACTGTTTCCTTTTCAATATTTCCTAATTGTCTAAATTTTAAAATTAACTATTCAAGCCACTAAATTTGACATTAAACAACTTATGTAATACAAAACGGATTAGATATTTGAACATTTCAAACATACTTCAAATAAATAATCATGTTTTTCACAAAAAGATATTTGAAAATTTTTCTAGACAAAGCGATCACGAACTAAATCATCCGGTTCCAAACGGCGCAGAAAGAAGAAGAGGGAAACACCACCGGAAGGTTTCGACCAGTGGCCGGAAGCTGATCAGAAATATTACCAGGTATTTAAATTCACCATAGATTTGAAAAATTTTTACTTATTTGGCTTTCCTCCAATCACAGAGCAAAAATTAATTCGAGAAATTTGCTCATCAAATACTTTGAATTACAATTTATGACTGGAGGACATTTCGGCTCTTTTACGTGACTCCAAAGCAACAAGAAAGCAGTGTAGCTTCACGAGACACAGAATTGGAATTTGGAAATCTTTGAAAGTAAAATTATTTTTCTATTTAATGTTACGCCCCAACTTGAAAATATTCTAATTATTTAATTTACTCTAAAATCATATTAATACATTATATGTCACACTCAATTTTTATTCCTATAGTGCCAATATCAAGACTTTGTAATTTCAAAAATAAATTTCTAAACCCCTGATCACCGTTAATAATTCAGCATAATACAAAGCAATTTCAGCTTCGATGGGCTTATCACCCAACACATAACACTGAAATGAATGCTTATAAAAAAACACTGCAGGAAGTGATACCACTGGAAAAAACTGAAAATCTTGATGTCGATTTCTAATTTTCAATGAAAAATTTCTCATATTGTCTCAAATAAAGCTTAAAAGTAAGAAGCATCAAATACCCAGAGATCATTGCATACAACCAAAAAGGTTGTTGAATCAAAGAGCAGCGTGCTTGTTAACGCGTTTTGAACGAATCACTACTGATGAACAAGCAATTGTCAAAACAATAAAAAAAAATCACAGAAAAAAATGCTCTACGGAATAGTCAGCGATATGGAAGGATGATTGATTATGTTTAAAATGCGTTAAACTGAAGATTAAATCCTTATGTATATCTGTCAATCCTGATTATCCAAATTTTTGTTTGACAAATTTGTTTTTTTTTTCCGATTGTTTGTGAATTAAACAATAAAAATACAGCTAGTAACAAGTAACTTTACAATTATCAAAAGTAAATTTAATAAGATTAATGAGATTAGAGCTAACGAGCTGAATTAGCTTTATAATTATTTTGAATGGTGTAAAAATGTGAGTTAAGAAACTGCACTAGAAAGTGACATTCTCGAGAGGTAAAATAGCACAATACAACAAATTTCGTAATATTTTACTATCAATATAAATTTGAGAGAGTAGATCTTGCTTTAAGAAAATATATCGCTTTCCAAGCAAAATGTCAGAAAGGCAATCCAAAAAGTTGAAATTTCTAGTTCACATTTAAAATTTTGATATTCATATATAAAACCAAAAAAGGAAATATCATGATTATATTTCCATAGGTTCTGTTGCATTATCAAGCATTGTATATGCCTGGACATCAGAAAGACTTTCACATTCCGTGGTTCTAGTGCGCTTTCTTGGAGTATTCTTTGACTGATCTGCGACTTCCGACGCATCTTCCCTTTCGTCTTTTTCAGCATTAGCGGTATAAGATGGCAGCGAATTATCTCTCCGAGATCTATAAAACAAAATACACTACAAATTAATTAGGAGTGACTTTGATTTACTTCTGATAAAATAAATTTTACAATCAGTCTTCATCTGCTGTCCAAAATCTTCCCAACGTTCAAGGATTCAGTTTTTTACAAAATAAAATCACTCTAAGATGGAGAAATTAATAAGCCAAATTTGCAGTTACTATCAGCTCCGGAACATCATGCGAACTGGAAAGATAAAAACAATAACAGTGAAGCAAGAGTGAAATAAATCGGAGAATAAAGCAAAATCTCTTTATTTATATGAATTTTGATTAGAATATTTCCGTTAATTAGCGAAGGACAATTTTTAGGTTAATGACAAAAAAAGAAGGTACTTTGTAATGGAAAATTTCATTATATATAAACATCTTGAACTGAAAGTTTATCGTTCTTATTTTTTTCCTCGTTATATATTGCAGAAAGATATCATTTTTGATGAGCCTTATAAAAATTCCGCTGTAAAAAGTTAATAGATTGAAATTAAAGACGAAAAGAGGAAATCGTTGAAAATGTTCATTTTTGCTTGAAATATTTCATAATTGAAAAAAGAAAGAAACTGTACCTTAGCATACTGTTTAAAAAAATTACCTTAAATTGCCCACAAGGAAATAACATTGAATGGTCTTTGCAAGAAAAAGAGCGAGAAAAAGTGACTTGGAATCAATTCACCATATCACTATAAAGACTGTGGAAAGTGAGACTTTCGTAGTTTTAGGCAACAAGAAATGAACAGGATGAACATGGATGAAGATGAGAGCAGAAAGAACAAAAGAATTATATTCAATCACTTGCGTTACCACTCAGAAAATTAAGTATCATGCAGTCTTGATTATTATGAAGACCGTACAGTCTGATAATTATCAAGCTACTCTTTATATCATTAATTTATGAACCCAATTCCAGCAATTGTTTTCATTCAATAAAAATACGGTTTAAGAAAAGATGTAAATCATCGAATTCTTCGTAATTATTTTTTAGTTTTAAATAGAAATACTCACTTGAAAATAGCCAACGACTTTGTCCTTCGCGGCTCCGGAATTGGCGTAATTTCTAGACTTCGGTTTAATTCATCCCAGTGGGACATTAGGTCTGATACGGTAAAACCTTTGTCTGATGTTGGTTGATGAAGAACGTCTAAAAAAGTAGGCATGATTATTGTTACGATTTGAAAATTTGTTGCCGAATTTCAGATTTATGCTAAATTCTACATGAAGAGATCTTTTTCCAAATGAAATTAAAAAGACAAAAAATTCGCAATAACAGATTTGAAACTCAAAATAAGCTCACCACTAAAATCAATTAAACTTATCCGTGGTGAATTCGGAGCACTTTTACTTTTCATTACCAGCATTCTTTTCCGGAAAATTTCGCACTCCGCCTTTTCCTGAAGTTCACGATAATGTTTCACATGTTCACATGCTTTTCCAAGCACAATGATACCATTTACTATTTTCAGTGTCAATAACAACAGCCATGTGAGACCTGGAATTGCTCTAAACATTTAAGTATATGTATTGACGAATCTAAATATGTGATTAGAAAACGTTCAGATAAATATTGAAAGTTCATTTTTTAAAAAAAATCCAGCCTAATAAACGTGAACTAAATAGTTTGATTTCGCATGAACTATCTTCTCGAAAAAAACCATAGCGAGTTTACAATTTAGTTATTAAAGAAGAGATCCCAACACAGAATGCATGCACAGAAAGTTAAATACTCATGTCAAAAATAATTGGAAATCTAATAAACATGATAACACAACTGCTTTCATCAAGTTCAAATCCATCCAAAAAAACTGATGAAATGAAAAAAGAAGAGATGCACTAATCACAAATAACTCACAAAAAACGAGCTGCACAGATGTAACAGTGAAATCAAATGTTTGAGTAACAACGCGTATCAGCAAAATTGTTAATGGAATAGGTATAAAACCCATTCGTCTTGATACCTGATCTGAATAATCTGAAAAGGCCTTCTCTCCACGACTTCGAACGACGTCAAAAGCAATTGTTATTGTAAAATCTGAAATGTAAATTCACTAACACATTTTTTTTCAACCCTACATTTTATCTTAAATTCAGTCACCTCTAATTTATTTCAATTTTATATTTCAACTACACTTAATAGTTTATCAGAAGAATTCTGATGAAAAACGACTGTGCCCTAAATGGCGCGAAAAACTTGGTTAACCTGAAAAGTTACAAATCAGTACCTTGATACACCTCTGCTGGTATTTCATTGAATTTAGTGATAAAAGCGTGTTTTAACCAATCAACAATTATTTCAGCAATCGTTACCAAGGCCTAAAAAAATTGAATTCATTTTCCAAAAATGATGAAATGTTTTCTTGCGTGATGGGGTGTAAAAATAGCACTTCAAAGCCAAGAATACGACAATCTTCGAATTTTAAAATTATGATAAATAAAGGCGAACAAACAAGGTCTGGCAACATTTCTATGAAATGCTCGAATTTCCAATTCACCGCCATCATATTTCGCATAACCACAACTGCTAATAAAGTAAAGATATGAAAGCGTTCACGGACATCACTGGAAATTTTGATTTTTCAAAGTTCTAAACAAAATTCTTATTAATAACTAGGAAGCAAATTCGACTCTTGATTTTCATCTCTATCAGATTTTATTTTGATCATCAAATACGCACTTTTATCTACTTTACAGAAATAAACCATATAGTATAAAATATACAAATTACAAAATCTGAGAACAAAAGTTCTGTAAAATAATACCTGCAAGACATTTGAAAAAGATTTGCTTTGGCGAATTTTTTGAAGACTGACCCTTTCAATTCAACAAAATTATTGGACATCATTATAGCAAGCAGTGCCTGCGTATGTGAATTAAAAGCAACATTTAAAGTAGTAGCCTGAAATTTTCATAAAAACATACTTTTCACGAATATTAATGATATGATATATGGGTTATGATTGTAATATAAAAATAAAATGGTACCGCAGAATTTTTTTTTCATTCGATGAATAATACAAAGATTATAAACATTCAATATACTTGCAATAAGACGAGTATTGTATGTAGCCAAGTATAAATGACTGCAATAAATAGGTGTACGAACATCCGTACATAACTTGATGAAGAATGTGTACTTGACCAAAACAAGGCGTCAAAAATATCCTACAATTCATAACTTTGAATGAATTTGAAAATATTCAGTATTCGTGGTAATAAATTACAAAAATGAACAAAAGATGAAATAAAACATATACCTGACCAAAACTACTAAATAACTTGTCGGCTACTTCGAGCATATTATAAAAAATATAAAGTTTAATTACACCTTGTCCTCGAACCTGAAACACGTCTTAAAAGAGGAGCGCTGAAAATACTTTTTATAATGTTATGTTAACTCATCAAATTCGAAATCGAAACGAAAGTAACTGTCAACTATACAGTAATGTAAAAGAATAAATTAATGAAATATAGCTAATCAGGAAAATATTATTATAAGCTATGTTTTTTCCAACTTAAGCAATTCTAATAATTCGGAAAGGTTAGAAATCAACGCATAAAGTAGGTTCTGACTAAATCTGAGAACATAACTTCTAAACATTCGAAATTTTTTCGTTGAGAGACTCGAAAAAGACGAAAAATAACCTGGTGATACATTACTGATGTGTCAATCAAAGTCATAAGACATGAACAAATTGTTACAATAAAAGCTTTCAAAAAATCACAAGTATTGGATGCGGTCCATTTTCTTGAGCATAATAACGAACCAACAACAGACATCTGCAATTGATAGCACTTAATTTTGAATTCATCTATTTCATACTACAGATATCCTAGGGACTCATCTTTAATCTCAACTTCTTTTTCAACTTCTTAACAAACTGAAGTATTAATTCCCAAATGCAAATTTTGCAAGCTATATGTAACATTGTTCGATTTTATCCAGCAATCTAAATATAGTTACTATTAAATCGATTATGATGACTGCGCTTCATAAATCCTCCAAAAAGGTCTTACCAAGAGACGAATTGGTAGGAATGTAGACAAGTGGCAAAAAGCTTCCAAACATTGCAATGTACCATAAAACAAGAATTTCTCTAATTCAATTGGTATCCTCAAAAACGCACTTATTTTTTTCTGTTTTTCTGTATAACGTAATTCATCATTGTCAAGCGAATATCCTCTGAAAAGATCGGCATGAAAATTAATTAAACTAACTCATAATGATATATAATGTGATATGTCAGTGCTTTACACTGAAAACATAAAATCTCAATTTGGTTAAATCTTGAGATTATTCTCCTGCTATTTGTGCTTTAAAACAAGCAATTTCATAAGAGAAAGTGCAAACTACCTCGTAAGCTCATCCCATATATAGTTCCAAAAACTTGGCACGATCAGGTTTTTCCTATCACCATGTTCTTCCCAAGGACAGGGTGATATATCCGAACTTCCTTCTTGCGTCTCTTCTCTGAATCGATCAATAACATCTGATTCCTCCAACTCACTGCTATCATCATCGATACCAACATTTGCTTTCACTTTCCGAAAACGAACTCCTTCATCGGTACGAAAATTCATTTCCATGTCCGTTGAATAATTGTATCATAACTGCAATATTAAGAAATCAGTTAGTTATCAATACTTTCTCATTTGACTACAGTTTTCATAACAATAATATGAACCGATAATTCAATTCTTAATAATTACTTTTTTGAAACTTATTCTCAAAAAAGGACTTCATTAGGCTTTCATCTTCTTATGTGCCATCTAAGATTTATTTTTGCAAAAAGCAATAAATAAAAATGGATAGCAAAGAGACAGAAATGATATAAGAAAAAGATGAAATTGGAATTTGTATATTTAGCAATTCAAATAGCCAAAACACTGTCCTGTATCTAAAACTTACAGCTTCTACCATGTAGTCTATATTAATCCCAGTGATATTAAAAATTTTATTAAAACCTTTCTGACTAAAAAAAAAAAACTAACATAGAACAGAAAGAATCCAATAAAATTAGCTATTATGAGAAGAGATTGGGTTAAAACCGAAATAAAAAGGAGCAATTTTGCATTATCATAATAGATGATGACCTAATCAATGAACGATCAAATTTGTCGTCAGCATTTCATCCATTCTTAGTCTATGAATTTTCTCCCTCAATATTATTTACGCAGCACCTCATCACACTCATTTTCAACTCGAGTACAAACCTCTGGTCACGAAGTGGTCAGTTAGCTTCCTCTCTCTTCAACTTGTCATCCGTAACCCTTCAGAAATGTTATTATATTTCTTGACGTCACATTAAGCTTCGGAATGGAAAAACTATGAAGTAACGGAGTGACGCAAACTGCAGGCTTATTTCGATACTTTTCTTCCACCTCAAATATGACACATCACTGTTGTCATTTTCTTTGCCAGAAAAGCCACAGAAAGCTTTAACAGCCTTAAACCTTAATAGTCTTATCGGCTTATTAAAAACAAATTGGCTCAGCCTCTTAACTTCTAGCAGTGTCAATCATTGAATAAATTAAAGCGAATATTTCTTCCAGAAGATGGAAAATAGTAAGAAATTGTTTTTACCTGTAATTTTCAGATAAGGCATATATCTGCGCAAAAAGATAGCTGGGATAAACATCAAAATGGAGTAGAAAAAACAAAAAAAATTTGCATAACTTTTTTAGAAGACACAGAAATGAGAGCTGACGGGAAATTTGTTATTCAAATTTTATTGAGCGATATTATAGAAGGAAGCAGCTATCAATATGCTTATCATTTGAGAGAAGAAGGAAAAAAGAATTTATTTGGGAAAGTTTGCTACTTGAATTTTAAATGGTAGTACAAATGCAGTTTGATTATATATGTAAAAAGATTGCCAGAAAAACAAAAATATTATTACTAATTTTGATTGTGTTGCAAATTTGTTAGTGAAATTTTTTCGAAATTTTAGTTGAGGAAAATAATTTCCAGCTTCCATTCGATTCCAGTCTGCGAACTTTCAAAGTATTTTTATTATTATCGTTAATCAAAATTACAAAATGTTTGCGAGAGTATTGGATAGAAGATAAATTTGATGGCATAACTTCGAAATTTGATGGAAAACAGCTATGGATGAAGGACAATATAATAATGGTAATAATATAATTGCCAAACTTCATCTCAAAGTAAGAGTTTTAAATCCACAACTAAATTACCCATAACAGAGAAGTCATTAATGGGATTGAATCAGTAATAACTTTGTATCCAAAAAGAATTTATAATAATGAAATCGCTTATACACAAAGAGATGAGCTCTTTGCTCTTAATTACGTTACATAATCTTCGGAGCAATAGTTTGCTCGATATTTCTGTAAACTTCCTTTTTTAAAGCAAGAAATTAAAACATGCAAATTCTAAAGATATGAGCCGTTTCAAAGACATTGAATTGCGAGCAATAATTATGCTTAAATATCAAACTTTCAATACCAAACTTTTATCAATATCAAATTTTTCAGACTTTGCGAGCTAAATTTATTCACTAAAATAATAGGTAAGCAAAAAAAAAAATTCATTTATCAAAAATATTTCTCTTTCTCTGATGATACTAATTGATTATTTGATTTGTCAGATTTTTTCTTACTTCATAATTACATTAAAAATTTTTGGTTATATTGCATTAAATGCTTTTTGGATGCTATTGATTATCCTGTATGTGAAGAATTTTCGATTAAACTTTAAAAACGTCAATATTTCTTGCCAAAATTTTTTCATTACTTTTCGTTACTCTAAATCTTACGAATATAACTCAATTGGTATGCTAACATTCATCTGAAAGTTTGCCAATATTTTTAAAGATCAAAGAGTACTACAAAAAGATTACTGCAAACTCTCTTTCTCTCCCAGTACCTGTAACAGGTATTAATTAAATTCGTACTAATTAAATTGAATATTCACTGAAAATTATATTCTACTTACTTGTTTACTTATACGTACTTTACTCCTCCCAGATTTAGCGCTGACATACATAACTCTGTCGCAATTTACATTTATTGATATGCATTAAAATTTCAAGAAGTTATTTAAAATTATTAGCTTGCCTTCAGAGCATATTACTTGACCGTAATATCGATAAAAATTTAGTAAAGTTGATCTCAGCGCAGTGTTGTTCAGCTTTAATCTGTTCGATCTCGTTGAGATTCATCAAAGTTGTCCGGTTCCTCATTACAGATGAATCGATTTTGATTACAGTAAACAGAGTAGCCGTTGCAAAAAATTATTGCAACTAATTAAAGTTAAATTACTGACATACATCGTAGTTATTTGAGGGAAAAATGAAGGAAGGAATGAAATTTGAAGTTGTCCGCGAGTTCGAATAAAAATATCCATTCAAAATCTATCTGTTCGTCAGTAACAATAAAAAACCATGATTGATCCATTGTAAATTCATACAAATTTTGACATTTATTTTTAAAGATTCATGTGGTTATCATGTTCCAGTCGTTATCACTCAACAACTCAATGCTTTTCGTAATTGATAGAAGCTCGACTTTCTGTGCAAATATTTTGATATGAGAGGAGAAAAGTCTACAATTCTGCACTGTCTAATTCTAATTTTCGCAAGGTAACATACTTATTTTCCCAGGTAAGTTGCGGTAACATATCACACCATTACAAAAAATGAATTGCAATGGTCAGGTCAGTGAAATATGGTAAATATGAAACATGACATAATTTATTTTCTGTTTATAAAACTTTTCTTCGTTACCGAATAGTTCTCTATTACGAATTGGAGGATCAACTGTCTGATATTACAGGTCAAATGACCGTCTTTACTCTTCCTGATTTTTGTCTTGTAAGATTTATGACTAATTTGAAAGAGAAGAAAGTTTTCCTGGCTTCATTTGAAAATTTTAAGAGTTACAAAAGTAGAAGTTAATTAAAGAAAAGCTCTTAATGCCATTCACAATTTTATCTTGATGCTTATAATCGTCAATTTTTTACTTTTTTAAAAACAGTTTTTACAAGATATTATCCGGCTGCTACAAATTTCAGTTTTAAAATTACATCTAAATTTGTCATGCTTTAAAAATATTACTTTTCCCTATGATCAGCGCTACTTTCCACGAGATATTATTTACGTGTGTTGTAGTCACATTTATAGTAAACAAATGAATCATTGTTTCGTTACTTTTGTCATCAAGAAATTATTAATTAAGGTCATCTGAGGTGGATAGGTATGTGCTAAGGTTCATTCAGTTGTTAGCGGTCAGCGTAGGTCACTTGCAGTAATGTCCACTCATTAGTAAATATAGGAGGAAAGAGATGTCTAAACAATGTGTGATAGTGGTATTTTGAGTATACAGAGTGTCTCCAATCAAGGAAGGTCATTCTTCGATCAATCGAGACACTGATCTGCAAAACTTTCATTCTTTCTCTTTTATCCGCTATCATATCCTCTCCAAAATTCTGTCCTTCAACCTTTCCTTCTTTTGTGAGTCAAGTTCGTTTAATTTCTTTTCTTCCTCCACTCTTCAACTCCCTCGCTCTGCCACCTCCTTGCTCCCTTACCATTGCATATGGGAATTTCCCCCGCACAACCCGTATCACACCCCATAAGGAACCGGTTCTTCTGCTCACATCAGGAGCATCAACAAATATTTTTCCTATCTGGGAAATGATACAGCAGCGCAGAGGTGCGCACATGTCCGTCTTCACCCACCTTCTCATCGTATATAATGTCGCGGTATCATGAAGTTTATTCAGAAATTTATGCAACTCGGGCGCTCAAAGACCCAATTTCAACAACTTGATGCTGAACCTCGACCCGTTGGAAATCCATCTTCTATTTTCCCAGGTAATTTCACATTTCTGAACATGTTAAAATCTCCTTTAAATATATTATTATCCGATTTTTGCTATTAATCGTTTTGATGCAAAAATATTATCGACTAAATAATCAGCAATTACATTTGACGGATGACGTGATAATGACACAATGAAATGTGTGTGGGTTGACATGACAGAGAAAGAGACGGAAAATTCTCTCGGAAAAAAAATTCTATCAGTAATGATATTCAAACATTAATATTTCATTGATGATTCTCAGAAATCTTCTCATTTATGAATTCTGAAATTTGAATTGAAGCGCCTTATAACTCGAAGCTCTTTTACTGAGCATTCACTGAAACAGTTGATTACTGCGAAAGATTACTTTATTGAAAATCATTACATCCTGTATTTTTTGAACCTATTTTTTTATTAGAAATTCTACGAAGTCACCCTAAATTACTCTAAATAATCACCCTAAATTAATTTTTCTTCTCTTTAATCTTCTGCAATTGTCATAATTTTATAATTGTTATGATTGTTTTTAACATTAATAAATCTTATATTCAGTAATACAATCGTTTACTTCAATTTTGACAAATAATTAGGAAATGAATTACTTTTCTTTAATTTCTTTTTAAGGATGTCCGCCACCATCTTATCGTTCTTCAACGAACGCTGATGACAGCGCCACATTTAGCAGTACAGAATCATCCGGCGTTGCAGCACCAACATATTCTATCAAACGACGTAATTCTTGGATAAATTTAATCGAAAGTAATGAAAATTTATGCAAGAAAGATTTATTGCATTATACTGAACCACCGTACACAACGACAACAACAACAGGTAACGTCAACATTCCAATGCCAGCGTGTTGCACGTGGACTGGAAATATTTACGGGAATAATTACCAATTCCCGCAAAAGTACAATTTAAATGGTCGATATGCAAAATATTTTACACCTTTCTATGTGTTAAATTCCACCGGCGATCCGATTGCTATATCCAAATTGGAGTTAACTGTAAGTTATGAATGCTTTCATTATTCTTTGGTTTTAATTAAGTTAATGAACAAATGAGTTGATCCAGTAATAACTTGTTTACATATTTATATTATTTCTTATTTACTTGTTCTTCAATTCGTTCTTCTTGACCGTTTTTTATGATCGTTTATTTTTAACACCCCATCTATTACTGTCGGCATAGAAAAAGAATTTTACTGAAGTCTAGAATACACATATACCGTAGTTTATGAAAATATCTTCTGTAATGTTTTCATATTTTAGGCAACACCGTTTTTTTAAATTAAACAATTAAGCATCTTTTCGCCCTCTAATTAATTCATACATAAGTTTTGCAGCAAAATGAATGCACGAAAAGTACACTGAATATCCATCCTTCTGTTTATTTGTTTATTGCTGCACCTTTCCTATACCCTCAATTTTCTGAATGTCGAACGACATACTTCTTTCGAGCATAATTAGTTCTGCAATACTTGCAGTACTAGTAATGTCCTCAATCGGATAGATTAATTTACTTTTCGAATAGTTGAAGGAAAACTACGATATCGGACAGAAATTTCTGTTTATAGAGTGCAATCTCGAGAATGACTGTTTGCTGTTTGCAAATATTTACATTTTATTTAGATAGAAATCGGTAATAAAGGGGAAAGGAGATGAAGACGAGTTAAGGTAATATATGATAAAATAAAGTATGAGAATTTGAGGTGAAGGGTGAAAGATAATCTGTTTAAAAATGAATAAAATATTTTACTTTTGCTTTCTTATATTGCTTTCTGAACATAAAAAATAATTGGTACAGAAAGGAGGCTAAAAATACTGTAAAAGATATGAAAATTGCAACAAAAAGGTCATGAAATGAGATGGAAGAAAATATTTGAGAAGGTCATCACGCACGTATTTATTTGACATCTACAACGATGTGAATAATATAAATTAAGTCAATTAATAGAAAAGAGATAAAAATAGTCATAAAAGGTTTTACTTTTTTACTGTTCTAATACTGTTTTAATCCAATTTGTATTTTGCAATTTGTGTTATTTACCACCCAAAAAGCATAGGTAAAATACAAACACGTGAGAAGTGTTTACTTAGTCGGCTCACCTACTATAATTTTCACATTTTTAGTCACCGTTTGTGGCATCGTTTCATACGAGTGCAACAGTATTGAACATCTAATTTACCTGTTTCCTCCCTCTCTATTACCAGATTTTTCTCATCATTGACCCTTCACCTACCGTTTCTCCCTTTTTTTTTCATGGTGTGTATATCAGATTTTTTGTCGATTCAAATTCTGAAGTGCCAAATAGATTCTTAATTCTCAATTTCCGTTTACTTCTGTCTCTTCAATTATGTTTCTGCAATTCTTCAAAGCTATGTGTAGCAACTTTTCGACCAAATATGGTGACAGATAGAATATTGAGGATTCAAAAGTAGAGACCCATCTTTGAATCTGTAATTCTAAATAAATCTCTTGAGCAGATGAAATATGTGCAAATGATCAGCGTGCCAAAGTTATCGGGAATTAGCAAATCAATTAAGTAATTGCATAAATTGGTTTAGCAGTTTTTTAGAAATATTAAAAGTATGTTATTCGATTGATGTTTTGAATTCCAAGCAATCTTTATGAATGACTTCCAAAATACATTATTGTAGAATTTATTTTCCAAATCCGTTGAATGTTTCACATCTTTCCAAACTACATTTTCAGAACTGTGGCTCATTATGTAAATTAAATAATGCAAAAAACTTATCAACAAACTTTTCGAAACGCGATCGAATGAATGAACTGAGGGAATGGTTTCAAGAACCAAAGAATAAATCCTATTTATTTATCGTACTGTTTTTGCTTATTACGTGCTGCATTATATCCGCTATCATACTTCTCAATAAAGAATTCACAGTAAGTTTTTTTTTAAATTTTTGCTTGAAAAAATCTTTCAAATCTTTCATCTGTAATTGCCAAAATTCGGAGAAAAACAATAAGAAAATTAAGAATGCTAATTAAGTAGTTTCGATATAGGTGTTATTTCCATCAAGTCAATTCTCGACATTGCCAATCGATTTTTCATAATGAAATTTTTGTGTACGAATTAAAACAGCTACCTTTAAATAGTGTTTGATACAATTTCGGAATGTACTCTTTCTTCAAATCTTTCCGATGAACATATAATGAAAACCAACCGTAAGACGGAAAATATTTACAAATCAAAATACGATATTGACTACAGGAACAGCTGAAAACATCGTTTTAAACACTCCCATTGGGAATATTTAAAAAAAAATTATAAGTGGTCTTTTCATGATAAAGTTACCAAAAGAGATTTATAAATTGATAATTTACAAGTACTATAAGTGTAATTTATTGCACTTATCGGCTTATTTATCAGTTGTAAGCTCTTAGCAATCGTTCAACAGACGTTAGAGAGAAAATGCTTATTAAAATGAAATAAATTTTTATAAAAGTAATGAAAGTAATATTTAAATAAATTCTGAAAAAATCTTTTAAACTCGTTTCAAATACATTTCTTTGTGCAATGCATATTTTAATTTTAATAAATAATATCAGGAAATTTCACTAAAATAATGTTGCTCATTATCATCTCTTAAGTATCTCAAAAGCCTAGTTTCTAGGAAGAAAAAGTTTCTTGTTATTAGGAATTTAAATATCATGATGATAATACTATGAGACTTTTGAACGTGTTAAAAATATTTGTTAGGTACCGCTGCTTAATTCTAATTCTTAGTTTGAATTTTTTCAAATGTCATTTTTTGAAATTTCATCAAAAATGGGATTGAATTTTTTTCAAGTTGAATTTTATTCTTAAATTTTCCAGCAAGAATCACGAAAGTTTTCTTGGATACCACCGCTTGTATTTCGCAACCAACATGGGAATTCGACCATGGTCAAAATGTATCAGAATAATCATCAAGTTAGATTCGAGATACTCGGAAATCTCCCAATTAAAAATAATTATATTACTATATATGATTTTAAAATGGTTAGTTTTGCTTTCAGTAAGCATAAAATTTATTTTATGAAAAGTATGAGTGTCATGGATAGGTAAGAAATCATTAATAACTTGTTCTGAAGTAATACTTATCAGTTACTCGGACATTTTCAGACTGAAGATATGTGGACGGTGTTCGTGCGGTGTTGCAGAATATTAATTTACTTATTTGGGTAGTAATTTATGAAACAATTTGAGATATGAGAGTGCTTGACGTAATTTGGATTTATTAGTATGGATGGGATTAGGTTGAATTCGTTGGATAGCATCCACCATCCACATATCTTTTGAAAGATTGGTTGAAGTTGTTTGAATGAACTTTTATTTTTTATTTTTAAATGATTGATTGTTTTGTAACATTTACAAATCGAATAGTATAAAAAAGCATTGAAAAGAATTGTTGTTAAACATTTTTTTAGTTTAATTGTGAAGTGAACGCAAAATTTCTAGGAAAGATGATATTTACTCATTGTGGAAATTAGTATACATAGCAGTTCCTATATCAAATGGCTTATTTGAAACTTTAAAAATAGGCTATCTTTCATTAGCTTGCAATCAGCATAAATTTTGTGCAATTTCCGAAATTTAATGTTCTAAGAAAAAAGGAGAAATCACTGAAAATATTCCCCTCGATTTTATATGAAGAGAATTACAGAGAAGAATAGCAATAATCGATTCAACTCTGAGAGATAATGGCAAAAATTTGATTTGCTTTGTAATGAATATGAATATTTCAACAATGCCCGATAAATATTCTCTCGAAATTGGTGCTCAAAATGCTTTCAAAGTGTGTTTCTCACTTCATTATTGCTTCATTTCGTTTAAGCTTGATCATTTGACCATTTTTCATTGTCAAAGTGCAATATAAATCAAGCACACACATTCACGCATCTTTCAACTTTGTTATTATTTTGAAGCGTACGGAACAAATTCACGGATGGGAAGAAGCGTGGAATTTCTTGCCTGTTTCATATTTCGGTAATTCGTCCATACTTTTTGATCCACCCATTCCCGAATGTAATGCCGCACGATGGATTTTGCTTAATTATACAAAGTCTAATCAAAGAGGTATATTTTTGACTTTAAAAGTTTTGTACAAGTTAAAGTAATAAAATGTGATTCCTCAGCTCTTCAAAGCCTTAAAAATATGTAAATTCAATAAATTTTTAGATTCTTCCAAAAATACTGATTTAAATTACAAATATTTAATGAAAACGATAAAAACTGCAACAGTTTGAATGTGTTATCGCGAAGCTTTAGAAATTCAGTTTGCAAAATTGTTTGATCCAGGAAAGAAATGCAGCGATTGTTATGATTTTTGTTTACCGGAACTCGGTATTGAAAGGGATTATCTGAGAGCAGAAACATTTTTAAATATTATACGCCGTGATTGCTTTTATCTTTTCGTACCGGAGTGGCGCTCCTTTGCAGCTGCATATAGCAGTAAACAGAATGAATACGATTTCCAACAATTTTATAACCAAGGTTAATCAACCTCCAAAATTTAAATGGAATTTTAAATTGAGGGTTAAAGCTTAATCAAATAAGCATAGAAAAAACGTCTGGTATATATTGTATATATGTAGTTGAAAATCAAAATTTTTAAATAAAATTAGCTTATAGACCCTTGAAAATCTTTTAATACTTTGAAAGGAATTTTTTAATATTTTGAAAGGATAGAATAATGTCAATCAAATTTTATAGGTCGGAATCGTATAAACAGTGACGATGAGAACGAGAATAGCAGAAGCAATGGTGGCAGTAATTATGGGAATGGCGGTAATTATGGGAATCGTTTTAATGGGATACAAAATGTCGTGGATGGAATTGTACAGCCGATCACTGATCAGTATCGAAATTTTGAATCGAAATGGATTTCTCTGCAGAAAATACCGCGTAAGCTTCATAAACCATTTTGATTTGCATTTAGTGAGGTATGCTATTGCGATAATCATCGCTTTAATGGCTTGATTGTAATTATCAATTTGTCCAAGTGGAAGCTTATAGGTGCTGATGAAGCAGGTAGAATAAAATATGCTTTTTCACTCCGAATTTGTGATTTGGAAAGTATTGCTTAAGATTTAAATCGGAGCAATTAACTGAAATAGCCTATGAATGAGAAAATTATTTGCTGAATATTTCAATGTTTTCAGAACAAATTTCAAACCCTGGTATGGATCAAATAAGTAATATTGCATCAAATATACAAAATTCTCCATCAAATGCTGTTCAAAGTATTTCTGGAAATAGGAATTATCAACAACAACAGACAGTGAAAAACAGTTTCACTGGGAGTATGTTACCGAGCAGTTATAGTAATTTTAATTTGAATAGCAGTACTAACAGTTTTAATAACGGTCAAACGAGAAATGTATTTGAAAATGGAAATAGTGATTTTTTGAACGATAATGACCGGACGAAGCCTCTACTTCCAATGCCACCACCAAGTTATCCAATACAACTCAACCAATATTCCCCATCATCTTTGGATCATAAAAATTCCTTCACCGAAGTCCTACAGAATTTTGGAAGCGGAAATGTGCGACAACAAAATAGCGCTTTTGGTACTAACAATAACATTGGACAGTTCTCTTCGGCGACTAAATTCAACGGCCAGCCAAATGGTTATAATTCGCAATTGTCCAGTAGTCAAACATTTAATGGTCTATCAAATACAGTGGTTAGCTCGATTTTTTTCATTAATTGAATAATTTCGACAAAAATAAACTGCAACTGAAGTAGAGAGAGAGAGAGAGAGAGAGAGAAAGAGGGTGCAAGGAAAGTTTTATGAAAGATAAGCAACGAATTGTGTTTAAAAACCAAGCACTTTTATTAAAATATTTTTTCAGTGTTCACTATCATTGACATTATGATACAGCGCTGAAAATGATATTAAAGAAATTAAATACACTCTTACAATTCTTACAATTAAAACCGACTGTAATATACCTCCAGTCTTTTACTTTCATGTTTTTGTTTTCCCAATTTAATAATAAACATTTGAACAAACTCCAGAAATTGTTTTTAGAGCATTGATGGCAAAAATAATCAGCGAAAAAATATCTATGACCAATCGATTGAGGATGGTGAAAGCATTTCAAAACAATCAAATTATCATACTCCGCAGCCTGGAATTGATGCGTACATACAGCAAGCAGGAAATATCAAGCAGAATGAACAGGTAAAACTCCTTCTTGAAATTTTATTAAAATTCTTTTAACTTCATTAACTTCATAATTGTTGATAATATCAGATTTATTTGCATTCTAAAGCACTGCAACTTAACAGCGATATGATTTGAGGTGGAACAAACAAGGAAAACTAATAAATAATTTTTTTTTCAAAAGATAAAAAAATTATTTATTTTTTTCTCATCTAATCCTCAAAATTAATTTCCTCATCTGGCCATCAATCATTAGGATTCTTTTTCTTCCAGTGAATAAAAAAAAATTGGAGATTTAATTATTCGTGATTGGAGCAGTGTAAGTTTACTTCTATAGAATATTCAAAATGAGCGAGCTTTTACCTTACAAAAATTATTTGGTAGAAGGAAAGAAAAGGGAATTCAGGAAGATGGAATTAAAAATAAGAAACAGAAGGTCATCTTTTGATCCTTCTAATATTTCTGTCATGTCTCTATCCGACCTGTCTCGGTTGAAATCGTCTTTAGTTCAACTTTTCATAATGACCTTGAAATATATAAGGAAAAAATCCCATCAATGATTATCGTTTCTATGTCAGCATTTTCGCATACGTTGCGTGTGATTCACTTTTTTTTCCATAAAAAAATTATTATAATAATGGAAAGCGAAGTTACCACCGAAAACTCTAACTCAAAAAATTAAACAGCAAAAATTAAAACATAAATAAGCTGAGACAACTATAGCAACTGACTTTTCTAAAATGGTTTTTGCCTGATAAAGTAAAACGAAATTATAATTTAAGCCTATCTTAAGCCTCCCAATAAATAATTCGGATCTGAGTTTAGTTTGATAAATTTTTCCTATTTTTCAGGATAATGGTTCAGGAAATCAACAGTCGGTCAATGATCAGGGATGGATTATTGTTGGTTAAAGAAAATTTTTAATTGTTAATATTGACTTTCAATAATTTACTATCGTTTTTTGTCAATAAGCTAATTTTTCTATATTTCCATACTTGTGTGCTTTTGAAGTAGGAGAAAAAAACTTATAATAATGTTTCGAATTTTAAATGGCTCGCATTAAAAGAAAAATGTAGCAAACATTGCCTTTTCAAAAAAAGTAAATATCTCAAATTCCAACACATTTCATTTACTTGTTGTTAAGTTTATGTCTAGCTCATCTAGTCCTCCCGTATTTTTTGAATTCATTATATCATATAGTTTATTATTCAATGTTACTTGTACATAATGATGACGATGATGGGTTCATAGTTTCTGTCTGACAGTTTCATAATTCGAGTTGTTTCACGAAAACATGCTGTTTTTTTTTCCACGCTGGAATATTTTATCTGTAAATTGCTCGTTATAGCTTATGCTCAAATGCAAATTAGAAATTAAAACTGTGTTTAAGTTATGTTTATTGAACATTCTATAATATATTTTTACAAAGTCTACTTTTTAAACCTCTCATAATTTAATAATATCACACAAGTCTTGCAAAGACACTTTGTAATTATGAGTTATGATCTCCATTTACGAAAACTAACATTATTGTCTAAATATGTATTGTAAACGAAAAAAAACTACTGTTTCTGACAGCAAGAATTCCAAGTCTTGAAGTTAGGTAAAGAGATAAGATTGAAGCGTGCTAGCTATTACACTCATGAAAAGTAGATTGAGATATGTGTAAGCAATGTTTAAATGCACATTCACTATTTGAATAACAAAATTTCCATGGAATTGAGGACTTCTCAACTGGGACAAATTTCTTTCACTTAAAACTGCACCTTCGTTAAATACCAGCAATTCATCACTGATATTGTGAAAAGCTGAACAACCTTCACCGTTAATGTATGACAGGTAAGAAACAACATACTTCTTATCGAAAAATCTAAATTATTTTATGATATAAATATTAAAACAAATCAAAGTGCACTAAACTTTAACGCTGAAATAATCAAAGTGCACCGAACTATAAAAATTGTTTTGCTTAGAATATTTTTAATCAAATGATTCTTCGTTTACTTAGCTCCACTTGACCTTTAAGTTCAAAGGGACTATAAATAGAGTACTCATCGAATGCTGCGGGCAATCATATTATTCAAAAAGTTTTTACCATAAACTTCCATCTCATTCAATGTTCAATAATCAGTACTACTATACAGTCTCAATCTGGTGATCTACTCTATATGTGATGTCTAATAATTGTCTTACAACGTCCACGAAGAATAAACTCTCCATCGGTCAATGAAACCTTCAACACAAACATCCGACTGTGCCACAAATTCCAAAAAAACTGTCAAACAAAGTATTTTGATGCCATGAATTGAAAATGTCTATCAATCAAATAACCAAAAGTATACAATCGACGAAAAAAAACCAAAGAAACTTCGATTAAGTCAAAGAAATGAATTTGCTCTCGCTAGGTTGACAAGGAAAAAACCAGGTCAATAATATAAATCTAGCAAAAAAATTAAAAAACATCTCAAACTGCACATCGGCACTTCCCAAACCAATAACAAAAATTGACTTGAATATATTCAACTAATCGCAGGGCGGGAAATGCGATTGACGACAGTAAAGATATTTTACTATCTTTACCGGTGGTGAAGATATTTTAAATTTAATAAGTGAAGGAAAAGAAGTGATTATAATTTTAACCATGTACAAGGCTGATTCCGAGTTAGTACTTCAGTACTTAAACAAAAGAACCAGCCAAAACAGCTTATCAAAAAACAAGAACCAGCCAAAACAGCTTTATCACACAGCGATAAATTTGTCCCATTACCACTACCAACATTGAATGATAACCCAAAATTACAAGGAGAATTCTGGAATAAAATTGAATTTTCCAATTGCACACCTCAAAGGAAACATTTGAAAAGCCATTAGAGGATATTACTTCATAAAACCATAAAAAAATCTTAATCAAAAAACTCAAATTAAAAAATCGCTCCGTAATGAGTTAACAGTCTAAAAAGCTACTGGAGATGTATTTATTGGAGTTGATCATTCCTTTAAACTTATTTAGCTAGATAAGGTTCAAAATTTGCAGTTAAGATTTTCTTTACTCCATACGAAAATTTGACCCATAATAGCAGGAAGTGGATATACAAACAGACGCCACTCTTCTAACGCAATTTTAACCGAAACCAAATCACCGAAGAAACTATGTGCAATTATATTAACCAGCAAGTTTTTTTATCACAGATTTTTAATCTTCGATCTCAGTCAGTATTAAACAGTTCATATCACCAGGATACTACCATCCACACCTAACTTGGTACTCTATATGTGATATCGCTATATAACGTCCGGTATAAAAAGAAAGTATAACCTGAATCAATAAAACCTTCACAAATGTTAGACCGAGCCACAATTCAAACAACACTTTTACAATATTTATAATTCCGTATGAACAATTTTTGTTTCTAAATAATTCTCCAATTTCCTAAGTTTACGTTGCAAACGTTTATTTTCTTCTTCTAAACTACTGACATCTTCATCGAATACATTGAGTTTGCCCAATTTTTCCTGTTGTTTCTTTACTAGCTTAAGTTCTTCATCATGATACTTCATCTTCTCAAGACGCTTATCAAAATGATCCAGTTCTACTCGTAGTGATTCCAATTCTGAGGTGGTGAAGTTCGGATTTTGCATTGCCTAAATTAAAGAATTATTATTCTATGGATTTAAAAAACTTCTACAATAATAAACGCTTAAAGCTAAAAATGAAAAGAACTGATGCAGAAGTTTAAATGAGTGTTACAACTATTAAAGATTATCAGTCGTTGTTTCTAATCAGTTTGTTTCGACTTGTAAGAAATTTCAGAGATGACTCTTCTGCCATCTGCATTTTTCGCTATGCATAAATTTTAAAAATTCAATAAAAAAGCGATAAAATATGGAATAAAATTTGCTACCTCTAAGTGTTCTGTTTCATAAAATAATAATAACAGCTATCAACATAAAGTTTCGATCAACATTTATAAAAATTGAAAGAACCAAACTAAAACAACTTTCCAACACTAACCAAATTCCATAAATTCTCCACTTTTTCACTGCTAAATATTTTCTGCGATGCTTGTGCAACTTTTTGATGTAATTTATCATATGAATCCATAATGTCATTATGATGTACTTTCAGTTCACGATTTAGCTTGTCGCTTATTTCGAAAGGATTTTCATTTAAAGTATTATCATTGAATTCATTGAACAGTTTCACTTTTTGTTCATACAGCTCCATCTTCTGCTCATGATCTTTGAGTTCTTTGTGAAGAGCTGAAACATAACATTAGCTATGAAAAAAATCATAAATTCAAGTGATTAATCTACTTCAAATAGCTAAAATTCTTGATTTCATTATTTTGGTAAGTATTCTCTAGGATGACTACACACAAAAAATAAAAAACTTTACTTTTTAGCGCAGTTTTAGAAAAACGTGAATTCTGCGCAGCATGCCAAAGTTTTTGCAGTTTCGGATCTTTAAATTTCTCTGAAGAAAGAATAGTGTTTTCATTTTGTTCTTCGTTCCGCCATTTATATTTCTGAAATACAGTGAGGATTTTCTTTACAGAGTATTGACCAAGAATTCTTAGTTTAGCCTTTTCGATCAACAAAAGTGATTCGGTCTTTATTTAAGCATCTTGACGCATCATAAAAGAAATCTAAAAATTAAAAGTAAAAATGATGCACACCATAGAAGTGTACATCTCTTCTGAGCGAAATATTTTTAAATCACTTATATACCTTCATATAAGCATCCACTGCTGATTCCAAACCATATTTTTCAAGGAGTTGTACCAGTTTATTATCCACCTCTTCCAGAACTAACTTCTCATTTTTTATACTTCTTGCCTTCGCAGATAAATAAAGCGAATCAAATTTATCTAATTCATCCTAAAAATTAAGGAAAGAAACCAAAAAATAATTTAAGTTTCAGAAATGCCGAAATGAAGAATTTCAGCTTTGATTCTGCTGGTGCTAGAAGTTTCTTTATTTAAATATTTCATTATCAGATTATCGCTTATCTTTAAACGTTTGATCACTGCCTTATCGCTAAGATGATGCATGGCTTTAGACCAAATAAAATTCAGCTTGCTAATGCGAAACGATACATCCATCCATGTGTTCAGATTTGCTTTCGAATATAACTGCATTCCAATTAATATTATCAATGATACTGTTATCCTTACTGATATCATTTTGCAAAAAGTTTTGTTATTCCTCATGCAAATTATCACAGTGACATTCTACCTCAAAAAATGAACAAATTTTATAGACAGTCAACAAATTGCATCTTTAAACAAGATTAACTCAATCAAAAATTAATCAATTAAATTCCTGGCAAACATTACAATACACTCCACAACTTAATGAACCACAAAAACACAGTGCGAATTCGCAAAAGGATGAAAAAATCGCATCAATGAAGAAATAATGGCATCGAATTCCATCTAAACACTCAATAGAATTAAACATAAAAACAGAATGCGCCAACATCTCGACATATTATCATGCCACCTTTTATGAAACCGCTGTCAAATCGCGGCTCGTAGAGTGAAAGTACGCAAAGGAAGTGACGTCTTTGTCATCGGGACGCCCTGGTGAAGATTGTTTTTTTTTCTTGAGAATAATTATGGCATTTTTTTGGTAGTCTGTGAAGTAGGAACGATATTTTTCTGACAATGATAACTGAATTGTAAGCAAAAAAAAAACTACCGATTAATTTCTCAAGAATTTAATGAATTTAAAGAAGGCAGGCATTAATTTCATAATAGCTGTCCTTTCGATGTATTTATTGTATCACATCCGTAACACATAATAGTGCGAAGATTTGTGATAGATTGCGAATTTATGGATTTGTCTGCTTCACATTTAAATTTCTTTCTATTTCGGTTGTTTGTTTACTCTTTACATTTACGTTTGTTTGTTCATACGGCGAGCGTATTTCATGTTCATGTAGCGTATCGTATATGAGATTGGGTAGTTTTATCACTTTTTTACTACAGCAATATATTTTTATATTCAACAAAACAAAACATGAATGCGTGAGAAATCTGAGAGCTATACGTGAATTTGAATCAATAAATCTAAAATTTATGCCAGCCTTTCTGGATTTAGTCCCAGTTTCCGTCATTATGGTAGTGATTATGGAGATGTTCATCATTGGAATCTTTCCATGCATCTCCGCGTTCGCTACTGTCCCATTCCTTGGCACCCTGTTTCCAGGCACCGTGATTATGAGCATGTCCATCACTATTTTTGCCATGTGCGACCTTGTCCCAAGCAGAATGTGCTAAACCGTGATCAGCATCCGCATGTTCATAACCTTTCTTAAAGCCATCACGATTAGCATCTTTTACATGGGCTTCTTTCGCTGCCTCGTGATCATAACCTAAAAGGCATTTTTAATCTAAAATTAAACCTTCATTTGTCTTTCATTCTCTAAAATTAGCAAACTTCTCAAATGTATTTAAATTACGAACGAAAAAAATGTACCTTTACCATTTTTGGTTAAATTTTTTTGTCTAATTCAAGTTTTCTTAAAAAAGATATTAAGCCTTTTGAGAAGAAATTTAAACTGAAATTTACATATTGCTGCAGTTCTACAATTCAGAATTGGACGTTCACTCACCGTTGGTTCCCCAATATCCTTTAGAGTAGAATCCGTGTGGTCCTGATCCTTGTGTGAAGTATGAGTATTTTTTGTGTCCTTCAGCTCCTTAAATAGAGGAATGTTTACTGAAAATAAGTTTGAAATCTTACATAGCCTCTCAAGACATCAACACTTTCAATTCGTTATGAGATGAAAATCCGAAATTAAATTTCAAGATTTAGGTGTCTTTCTCACCAGAAAGTGCATGTTCTCCAGCTTCCAGTGCATCAGCAACATGTCCATCGGCAATATGTTTTGCAAATTCGGAAAATCCGTCTGCGGCACCCTTACTTCCATATGCAAAACCGTCATGATCTCCGTTACCATAATTGTGTCCTTTATCGCCGTACTTTTTTGCGCCAGCTTTCCCACTTTTTGATGCACTAAAACCGCCCCAAGCAGTGCCATCTTTATCCCAATGTTCTCCTAAACATTCGGCAAATTTTTGAAATTGAATGGATATATTCTAAAAGAAAACTCAGAAGTTCATTTAATATTTGAGGCAGCTGCATAATTCGCACATATCCCTGCTTATTACTGCTGAGACCAAAATTAAATAGTGGGCTTTGAACCTAACAGCAGTCCACCGTTCAAATGATCGGATTAATTGAAATATTCATCTAAGTCATTTCATCCAATCATCAGATGACCTACCAATGTCCCATTCACGAGCGGGTTCATGATGAATCCATTCGGAGCATAGCGTATACTGCAATAGAATAATGAAGTACAAGGCAAAAGTGGTCAAGTCGGACATTTTCGTTTCTTTCAGCAGAAAAGATACTTGAGAGAAGAGGAGAGAGAAGCTTTCGAATACTGCTGGATGCTTGGTGGGACGTCCCTTAGAATTTATATCCGTCTGTAAAAGAAGGTCAATGCAATTTTCCAGAGAAATGAATTCCGGCTAGTTACATGCGTTTTTTTTTCCTCGCCAACCTATAATTATTTATAAAAGAGACATTTCAGTGTAATGTTTCATTAATGCTTCATTTCTTCGTCTTATAATTCTGTTTCTGCACTGAATACAAGTTTCCCGTATAGTTAATGACAGGCAGTAATGATTCCCATCTTTCTACAAAGAAAAAAGGAACAAGAATATTTTATTATTGTTATTATGCAAAAAAAAAAATACAGCAATAAGTGTAGAAAACAAGTATGACAGTTATTCAATGGCAAATAGATGAATAGCCGAGAGATCCTGCTACTAAAATATTTAAAAAATTTGTCAAAGAAATTCCATTTCTTTGCCTTATGGCTAATTGATAACAACATGAACATTTCTTGAAATCAATAATAAAAGCCGCTAAATGCAATCGAGAAAGTCATCAAAATGATTTTTCCTTGCGTAAATCTATTAGTCGTTATGGCTCGAAATGTTTTAACATCAGTTGCTTTCAATGAATAATCGTTAGGTCAAAATGTTTCGAAATCTAAGAAATACGGTTTGCAAAAGTGATAGCATTCTTACTGTAATAGCGACTCGTCAACGTATCCATAAGCGAATTAAACTTTTGATGTAGCGGTGAGATAAATGTATTCTCGCAGTTAGCCACTTCCTAGACTGCGGCAAAATCCTATATCATAAATGGACTTGCATTAGAGTAATTAGCGTAATCTATCATAAATCTAAATGTTTCAATTTTCTAAAGAATCAACATGGTTATAATACATAAGAATGAATTTGATTGAAATAAAAGTAAATACGGGGATAACAGTAAAAAATGTAGAAAAAAAAATGTTTTTGAAGAAAGGTATATGCAAAACTAAGGAATGAACATGGAACCACAAAATAATTTTTAATGCAAAGAAAAATTTAGAAAGTGGAAATTGGTCATTGATCGAAATTGGACCTCATAATATCGTCATCAAGTATGGCGATGGCAATTAATAAGAAAAATGTTGCTAGTGAAGAAATAAAATGCCAAATATCGTGATGATCGAAATATTGGAACAGTATGCATTCTTCAGCGATAGCGCTACTGTCAGCTGAATTTCAAACGATTGTAAGTTTAAGGTAAAAATCATTATAGAACAGAAAAACTTCATGATGAAATTCAAAAACGAATTGCATAACCATTTAATTTTCTTTTTAAATTTTTGGATGGAATTTTTTTTAGATGACTCAAGTATACATGAAAAATATATGATTATGCTTATGGCGACACAATTTCCCACAAATCTCTGTGTTGTTCTGATTTCTTGATAGTTCCAAATATTATTTAGAAAAAAACATAAGATGGCTACTGGTGAAATGCAGGTAAACTGGATGATACTTACAGCCCAGCCATTCTTGCCACGATTGAAAAAATAAAAAGCGGCAATCCAAAGTAGAAATGAAGCAATAGCATAAACGGAAGCATGTGTGGAGATTGTTTCACCATTAATAACCTGCAATGGTGACAAACAATGAGTTTATAATATAAAATTTTAAATATTATTGATGATCACGGCTGAGTGAATGGGGAGTATCTATTGCTTTTGGAAATAATTGCGAGATATGAAAAAATGAATCAGTGATTGTCTTCATGTAGAAGAATTTTAGTAAGACTGATGATTTAGTTACTCACTAATTGATATATTTTTAAAATTTTAGAGATAGAATGGAATCTAGACATAGTGACAGTTGAAACAATAATAAATATTTTCTTGTTTTGTTCCAGAAATCACTTATATAATTATGATTTTGGAAATTTCAGAAACTTAGTTGCGAAGTATTATAATTTTAATATTTTAAAGCTTTAATAAAAATCGGGTCAGAATTGAGGTCATCAAGAGGAAGTGCAGCTCGCATAATCACTAACAAAATAGAATGCTAGAAGGGTTATATTTACAAAGAAGTAAATACTAACATTTCTGTTTATTTTTTTCAGGTTAAAAGTCTACCGGATTCCGGAGCAGAAAACTTAAACAAGTGGACAAAAAATAACTATTACTGAAGATTAAATTTAATAGAAAGTGGTACTAAAATTCCAGTTTGACCTTGCAGGAAATGTAGTAAATAAAGTAGCCAGCAGTGTAAGCATTGTAATATGAAGGGTAATTTGCAGTAGACCCATTTCGAATAATAATGCTCATGCAATATTGCACGCAGTAATGCAAGCCAGCAATCTCCTGCAAAAAAATTTGTGGCAATTGAAATATAACTGTTTTCATATAAACTTATTGTTTCATATAAAAAGGCTTACCAGAAATATTCGATCATTCCACGATATCAAGCTCACTTTTGTAATAAACATAAAAACTCTTTATAAGAGTCATCTAAAAATTTTATTCAATAAGAGCTGAAGTTAAATTAGTAGTAACTACAAAAAATAAATTAATATGATAATGCTATGACAAATAGTTATTTGTGTAACTAAGTTATAGATAAGTAATTAACAAACCAGCAATGGAGAAATTTACTTTTTTAATGTCAAACTTCTGTCACTTCCATTTCCTGTAAGCAATTGCCAACAATAACTCAACCATTTTCTCCAATCCTTAGTTGGAATAACTTCTAAAGCAGATTATAATTCAAATGTAAGAAAGCATAGATCATATGATACAAAAAAGCAGTGGCTTAACTTAGCCTATTACTTTAAAAACCAACAAAAATTACCAACAGACGATTGGTTGTCAAGCAATAAGTGAAACTGAAAAACAATAAACAGTAGCAATACCAATATAAGAATAATTCCCAGTGCATGGAAGTTATCTTTTAAGATCTGAAATGTATTGACATGTGAAACTATTACAAATTAAGTGATGCTTTTCACTTCTTCATTTCCTGCTATGTGAAGAGATTAAATTTAAGTGTTAACGAAGTGAAGATATGATCTTGCAATTTTCAATAAGTGACAATTCTATTTGCAAAGGTGAACAATATATGTCGTAAAGAAATCGTAAGATCGATGTCACTTTAAACAGGTAAAATGCTTTGGGGATAAAAAAAGAAAGAATGGAACTTTATCAAAATCGAATTTTAAATAGAAATTCAGTAGGATGCAGAAGAAAACAAACTTGATACAGAAATATAACAAAGAGATTTTCAGAATTTCACAATATTATTAGTATTGAAAATTTACTATAACTTACATTACCAACGAAATGGAAAAAAATGGCAAATGTAATTGACTGGAAGATTCCATATAGTGAAATACCACCATGACGAACAAAATAAAATCGTACTGTTGGAAGAATCAAAGCTACTTCGACAAATAAAGTATCTTAAACAACTGTTAAAATTGTTTTATATTTTACAACATTAGACCTGTGTGACATTTTTTTTTTCAATTAGAAACAATATTTTCATCTATATCGTGTCGAGAAAATATCATCTAAAAAAATTCCACCAAACTGCTTAGCAATATACGAAATTAGTTAAGTTGGAATAAATCAAAATCAAAGAATAAGAAAATAATTACCACTGTGAAAAGTTCGAGGATTTGAGCAAATATCATAGAGCACACTGGCAACAGCCTCTAAGCATATCACCAATCCAATATTAAGAAAAACGTTTGGACAGTAACTGTACTCAACACAGCGGCAACATTTCCAGTATTTACAACTGCAGAGAAAAATTGGATATTCATATTCTAATAAATATATTCAAACTTAGCTTTACTTCATTCATTCATCAATGTTCTGGTAAATTGATAATAAGATTTTAAGAAAAAATTTTAAAGAAAGGAAAAAAATATTATTTGTAAAATTTGCCAATTATTAATCGTGTTGACAGATGGCATCCTAATATCTGTCGGAAACCCGAAATAGTTTTATAGTATAAAAATATTTACATGATTAAATTATTAATATTTATATTAATAAAATTTTTCTTTGTGCTATTAATATTTATAATGAAATTGTTTATCACAAAATCAGTCAATGTTTGCCACAATTTCTTGATCTCAAAAATAAAAATAAAGCCTAATTAATGTTTTGCTTAATTCGCCAATAATTATTATTATGACTCCTTCTTTGCCACTAATTTCTCCAGGGATGATTGATTAATTACCTAAGTTGAATAATCATCGAGCATTGCCCAATTCAAAAAAAACTATATGTCTCGCTTACTACTTGGGATCAGTATTATTCAGCATCAATATCGGTCTGTTTCACCATCAAATCGATATCTTAATCCCCTCCGATCAACCAATAAAAAAAACCAAATAATCGACTCGGCTGACTTATATAGAATAAATCTTCCATCAATTAATAAAACCTTCTTGAAACAATTCAACTGTGCCAAACTAAAATCTCCCTCAGAAAATCTCACAAAAAACTATCCACAACAATATCTAAAGCAATTATTTTTTTGGACTTGCTTTTTTATATTAATTTATCAGATCTGCTAATTGGAAACATAAAGGAATGGGAGATGTGCTAGAAAAAAAGATAAACAAGTTCAATCACAGATATGTGTGACGATTTCGAAATTAAACTTTGAAAAGCTCTGTACAAACCTACCGACGACCGATCAAAATAAGGAAGAGGAAACCGAGTAAAAAATATCCAACATTACTATACATATGATTAAATGTCTGAAACGATCCTAATGCAATCGAACATGCCATATTGTAATAGCAATCATCCAAATTATCATTTGCCAATGTCAGTTGATCCTAAAATTTGACCCACGAATTTAAACAAATGTGAATTATGTATATGAACTATGAACCAAATTTATTATTAAATAAATATACAATATGGTCATTTATGAAATTTCATGAAATTTAGTATCTGATTAAATGTTCAACAAACAAATTCGATAAAAACTTTGATGAATAAAAATAATGTTCGGTTACTTTGTGCACTTACCAATAATAATGTATAAAAATATTGGAGCACAATTAGTAAGGAAGCAAAATAAGGCAGATAAATTTTCCAATTCAACTGCAATTACGAATACAAAGAGCATGATGGAAGAAAAAGTTCGAATTTGATTAATTAAAAGATGGAAAAAATGTGTGTCAGGAAGAAAAAAATTAATATAACAGAAATAAATTATTATCATAGTATTATTTTACCATAGATTTGATTATCCGTTTCCACATATTCGTTTTTTCTCCTTTAAATAATTAATAGCAAGAGCATTTGCAGAAACAAAACCTTATATGACTAATTAAAAAAAATTTTCATACGAAAATGAAATCAAAAATTCACTTCAAAAGTTTGCATGGTGATTTCATTACCATTTGTACTGATGGTATGTTGTTCTGTTATATTAATTTTATTCATCAAAGTTTTTATCGAATTTGTTTGTTGAAGTGTGTGGTAACTGAAAATTGTCACTCATTTACTCGTTGTTTTTTTTGACCACTAATGTATGTAAGTATGTAATTTACAATATATAATGTCAAAGACTGTTAAATGAAGTCATTGAATTTCGCTAATGTAATTATGAAATTTTGCTACCTTCATTCGAAAATAATAAAAGCTCCATAAATGTGAAAAAAAATGAAAAATAAGAGAAAAAATATTGTAAATAGCACGTTTCATAGATTTCTGCTTGTTTTCATCCATTTGATAATCCTCAAGAATATTATGTGAATCTCTCACAGGTATGATTTCCTAGAAAATTCTTTATGAAACAAATTTAAATATTGCAACAAACACCATAGAAATCGTTGCTTGAACAACAATATAGTTATTTTTGATTCCTAATCACTTCATTTATTTGCAAGCACATACTATGTAATAATAACAGTATTTTTCCACATTTTTGGGTAAAAGCTGAATATAATTAACCTGCTGTGTGAGACTTGAAGGTATTCCTGAATTGCCTTCATCTAACAGAACGATCAACGGTGTATCAGTTTCTCTTTGACTAGAAAAAAAAAACCTCTCACTTCTTTTTGAAAAAACGAGCGCATGCATGCATGCAAATGCTATATGCAAGAAATAAATTGAATGACTAAAATGTACAAACTGTAAAACACGAATTCTTTTAAAACTTTTATAAAATTCCTTTGCAAATGTTGCACGATATTAATATTGCACTAAAAAAATGTACTAAATGACAGCATTGTAATAATACACTTATCTGGTAGAAAGACCTAGCGTAAGTTGATTACTTGCAAGAAAGACGATAGAAAATGTCAAATAAAATATCGTCATCATTGCCAAGGGATATAATGAAGTTGATTGAAGATTACTAAACTCGATGTCGAATTTCTTCCTGCGGTTATGTTCTCCTAAATCTTTTGTACTAAATACTTGAATAAACTATAGTGATACTATTTTATAGTCAAATTTAAATTTAATTTTAGTTTATTCAAAGGCTTAAATTTGATATTTAAAATATTTATTTATCGGCAGCTGGTCCTTCCACATTTATACTAATGATTACATTTTGATAATTTCACTATCCATTTTCGTATAATATAAATAATTGCAAGAATGCCTTTTGCAAGCAGTAATCTACACTGCTTTATAAAGAATTTTACATGTTTCAATATCCAATATTTGTTATGGAACGCAGAATGCAAACGTACGAGCAGGAGCAAATATATTGCATGCACGGTCATCATTCATCATCATTACGAAAATATGAAGTGGTGAATTTGCCAGTAGCATAAGTGATGCTTTTCGAGTGAATGACACTTGCATGAAGGAGTTCTGACCAAGCATCCCTGAATGCACGAATGCAGTCTGCAAGTAACAGTAAAATTAATAGATTATGATCTATTAATGACCTCAACAGTAAAATTAATAGATTATGAATTGTAAATCAAACAGACACTAGCTTTTCTTCTCGCAGGTGTAAGTTTTACTGTCACTATACCAAAACTTAGTTATAAGAAATACTACTGCAAATTAGATATACAACAAATCGAGAAAGCATTAAAAAACCTGCCGAATCGTCCTGAACTCTCAGAAAAGCGCAAAGATTGTTGCCACTTTTCACAGCTATTTTAAGCATCTGAAGAAAAAGATCAAAAATATAAACTCTGAATGCAATCGGCATCACTGCTGAAGTCATTTGATTCAAAAGAATATGATTGAATTTTGGCGCACGCAAACTGCAACACAATAAAGAAATTAAATGTTGCAACAAAGTTGAATTTTACTTTACTGAAAAATAACCATTTTAATAAGTCACAGCAATTTTTAAAATGAGAAGAATACTGTGAAATTATTTTTGGTAAACTATGGGAGAAACAGAAATTTTACTTGTACATGAAATGTATTATAGCATAAATTTAAATGACTATTAATCTGCATTTTTGACGATTCCATTATCAATTAACAATTGTATGAACAATCACTAATCTAAAATCAAGAAAAAAAATGTCATGATTTTGAAAGAAATTGAAATAATGAAAAGTGTTATACATGATACTGTATTGAGACCGATTATAAATTTTGACAGAGACGGTGCATGTTATGATACTGTCTGAAGTTGTTGTCACCAAAATGATCAGATAAATGGATCTATTGTCAAAGAGTGGTTCCGCAGTTTTCACATCTAAACCTGGTGACATTACGCCATCTTCTATGTCACCATTTACTGCAAAAATCAAAAGTTTCTTAGGAGAGTTTATAACAAAACTCAAATATCAAGCATTATCAATAATAATGAAACTAAACACATGAAGTTTCAATTGCTAATCTATGTCAATTATCCTACGAACTTCATTTCTCACTTTCTAAAAATTCTATGAAGAAGATGAGAAAATAGAAATCACAAAAGACCAGCAGAAAAGAATTGCTCAATTCTTTCATGTTAATTTATTTGGATATTTAAAAGATATTTAATTTTCTAAAGTGTAGAAAGCATAGATAATTATAAGTCTATACTTTCTATAAGCGGCATTGTTGCAGCGCATATGCTTATATAACCGATCGAATGCTCATGTCATATTTGAAAGCAAGGAGAATAATTAAGATTTATGAAAATTTGACAGATAAATGCTATCACTAATTATGATTTATCCAACGGGTTCAATGAGAGAGTGAAACATGAAACTTACCTGGTTGGTAATGTAAATGATATCGTATCAACTGGACGATAACAGTTTATTTGCAACAATGGTTTACTGATATCCACAGATTTGTTAATATCGTGTAAGCGTACATGGATTCGTAGCAAATTTAACTAAACCGGAAAACTTTGGCGTAATTAATTTCTCAAAAATATTGATTAGCCTCGTCTGGTACTATAATGTCATATGTACCATTGTTGAATCAAAACAACAATAACAACTGCTTGCACAAAATGATTTTCAATAATACAACAATACATCAATGTTACTCATTCATTATTTATTAATTTTAGCTTACTTGCAAATTTATAAATTTTAAAATTTCTCAAAGAATTGAGAATTTTCCTGCAAGAAACACCGTACTTAATTGCTCAAAGTCTGCATAATGAACGTTCAGATGACCTTTCCTTATTGCATTAGCAATACTTGTGGATCTGTTCAAGCTAAACGGGAAATTTTGGATGCGAGTCTCACTGCTGCTCAATTGTCGCAGTGAGTCATTCGACTGTTGCAATAAATGAGATACACCGTCGATTATTAACCCAGTAAAATGCAGAACAAATAAAAATGTCATTAAAGTGCGTCACGGCTGACAAAGCGTCCAAGTGCAGAATTATTTTCAGTAATTTAAATTACAAGTTATTTGAAATTTAAATTATAGACGGGTACGATGTAAAAACACAATTTAGAGAGATTCATCGTTGACAAAATAAAGAGCAATGGGATGTGTGGCGCTGGCCAATTTTTTGTTTGTGAGACGAAACTCCTGATCTCATACAATAGATTGCAAGGGAGAAAGAAAAAGGAAGAGAGAGAGAGAAGGATTATTCTCCGACACAATTCCTTTGTGTCCGCTGTTTTCATGATATCTGAAATTTGCAGAAGGCTAAAAATTTTGAAACCAAATACTCCCCTTATGTGTCTAGCTCAATTCATTTCCAACTGACACTCGCCGAGAAATCTCGAACTACATCATGGGGTCAGGCACTGCTAGTACAAATTCAAATTTGTGCTACTGAATGAAAGGAAACAGGACAGATTGAAGACAGATTGAAGCTCAAGCGCCATCCAATTTCAGACCTAGCTGATTCGGACATCCATGGCCACGGTCTGCTGTCCAATGAACCAACATCTTTCATGAAGTCTAATGAGCGGAAAGTTTAACACTCTAGCTCAACCTTTGGTTCAATCCCACAGCGCTAATTCTGCTTACCAAAAATAGCCCACATGGAGTACACATTCAACTTGGCTATTCTAATTCATCGATATGCTTTGCCGTTAACAAACTTTTAATCAACGAGAATGATGAAATTGCAATGCTCAGACTGTTTTCTTTCATTGCTGGAAATTTATGTTCTCATAGAATTGAGAAAAATTTTGGCTCTTCTATACAAAGTTTCGCACACTCTCTTCATAGATCAATGTAAACAATGAAAAGATTTTTTGAAATGCGAGATAATTGAAATGAAATGTACCGGAACGTATAATAACATTTTCCCTCTTCTTTTTTCATCTGTTTGCAGTAAAGTTTAACATGCGAGCATGTTCAATTTGCAATCAATTTGACATGCTGTGTAAAACATCAAAATTTTTGAATTCATTATCGTTTCACAAATTTCTTTCTGCAGGAAAATCTTCATGAATTGCAAACTTTTCAGCATTTGAACGATTTTAAAAATTTTTGCAATTCTTATATGGTATGTGTTGCAGGAGGTTCAAATTATCCAATGCTGCTGTTTGTAGTTAAATCAAACTCATCGCAATCATCGATTGGAATACATTGAAAATGAAAATCGGAATCGGATACGGATTTTGAAATCCTTCCTTGCAATCCAATATGAAATTAGTTACGATACAATTGCGTAAACGAGCGAATTTGAGGAAAGATGATATCATACGATGTTGACAAACGATTCAACAAATTAATTTTGAGTTTTTCTTTATTAATTTCTTTCTTACGCCTCCTCCACGATCATTTATCTTTTTTGATTTCCTTGAATGCATCGACGTATCATCACGTTGTATCATCACGCAATTTTACGTAATATAACTCATAATTTTGTTACCATCTATTTAAGTTCAACATTAATGCAGTATAAAAGCGCTCTTTTATTGAATTTTAAGAAAATGAACTCTCAAGATGTTGTAATGAAATTATTAAAAAAACATTTTTTGAAATGAAATGATAAAATAAATATTTGTCATGAAAAGCGATTGAATACTTCGTTTGCTATCGTTTGCACATATTTTATTCCCTCACTTCATATCCTTCAATTCTTTATATACGTCCTCTTTTCTAAATTTTTTGGTATTTTTCAAAAAAAAAAATTCTATAAGCTGTCACCTTAACAACCAGTTTGCGGAATAATTTCGAATTATTTGCGACGAATGATAAATATTATTTTAACAAACGATAAGCATTTATAGATGTTATCAATAATAAAATGAATGTTGTGATAAGAAAGAGAAGTGGGAGGGGGAAGAGGCAAAGATAGAACTAATTCCAAAAAGTATCTTTTGATGAAAATAGACATGTTGGACGGTCATTTCCTTTCATCCAAATCTTAATGGACGTGGCCCCAATGCTCGTTTCCATGATCTGAAGCAATCAATATTTTTTTAAATCGAATTTTTCAACTTTTTGATTTTAAAAATCAGATAATTAAGAATTGAAAATAAGGGAAATTTATTTTTTTAGCTGAATAACGAGTTAAAAAATAAATTTCCTTTATTTTCAATCCTTAATTACCATGCTATGATCAATGAATAAGATAGAAGGAAAGATTGTAATAAATTGATTGATATTTTTCTAATTCCTAGCAAGTAAAACTTTAGTTCCAAAAGTTTTATTTAATTTCGAATTCAATAATTATCTAATTCTAATCTCTTCTTTTTTGAAAGTTCCTTTGTATTATCACGTTCAATTTGATTGTCATCGCGAAAAAAGAAAACTGTGCTAGTGGAGTTTCTAAGGTTAAAATAATTCTAACTAAATAATATATCAATTATTTATCTTAGAATTATCTATTTATCAAAAAATTATTAACTTTTTAAAGTTAAAAGTGAACGAAAACCTGTCTTCCGCATATGACGATAAAATGTTGGAATCTGGTGATCTTACTAAATTCGTATATGGATTCACTGAAAATCGAAGTAGCATAAGGGATTGAGGATATACACAATCATGAATCGTAATAATCTAATAATTTGACTTACTTGTCTTGGACAGAGTGTTTTAAATTCTATTTTTAGTTCCTTTATTGTATATCCTATCATCGCCGCAAAGAAAGGAAAAATGAAAATTGGAGTGCTTTAGATTGAAATGTTAAGTCGCATTTAGCATCAATCTTTAATTAATTAATAATTGATTATTCATTCTTATAATTATAATCGATTTTATTTATTGCTTATTAATTATTGTATATTATAACTAATTTAATTTCCTGTTTCCAAACGTTTTAATGAACTGTCCAACTCATGCTTTTGTAGAGAATATTTTTATCAGACATCCATTTTAGGCTATTTAAGTACCGTGAAGTACTGCAGCCAATAAAAATGGAGGAAGAATGGTATTTTAGTTTTGAAATAGTCATTAATCCTTAACTTATTTCTACTTAATATTACTGTATTTACAGATTATCTTTAAGGATTGCATAAATTTCTAAATTAATAGGATTTTTTGCAAGTTTATGACAGTATCAAAATAGTAATATATCTGTCATTAATCGTTCTTTGCAACACATTCTCAGTAGAGCACTTCATCTCTGCTTAAGTAGCCAGCATTAAAAATTCCTCTAAATTTTTTTTCTAAAAATTAGTATCATTTTTATAAGCTGTCGGAAATAGTACTACTGAATGAATTTTACAAATTATTGTTTTGATCAACGAATGCGATGTTTGTTTCAAATTTCTTTCCTTCACATATTGTTTGCATTTTCTACAAGGAAGAATTACAAAAAATTTTTTTTCCATTATAACTTTGTTGCATAAATCTGGAATAATACTGGAAATAAAATATATTTGCTTTTGTCTTATAAGAATAAGAGGAAAAACGACTGTTACTTTTTTGTTTATTTTTTAAAGGACAGTTGATCAATTCAAAACTGCTAAAATTCAAGAGCATTCATTAGCATTATCATTTCTTCCCTTCTTCCGCATTATCATTTCTTATATATAAGATGTAAGAAAAAAGGAAACTTTATTTCCTTTCATTAAACTAGACTCTGTCTCATTTCATTAACTTCATCCTTTCCTTTTCTTCAGTATTTGATTTTGGATGATGCTTTCGGTTTACAAATTTTTTAATTTTAGATATTTTTCCTCGTATTTTAACATTATAAATAATGCTAAATATAGAAAGAATATATTTGCAAAAGTTGCAAAATGATATCAAACAGGGGAAATGAACTGCTTAAAGTTTATCGAGGATTTTCATTTTTATATTGTTGAAAATGTTATGAAGAATTAACAAACTTACTGAATTCGTAGAAAAGATCATTGGGAGGTGCTACTTGGGCGAAATATTGTTGTTGGAATAGCGCAATAAACAGAATGCTGAGTACTGTCAGATTCATCGTTAAAAAGTTTCAGCACTGAGAGAGAGAGTGAGAGAAAGAGCAATACCACAGATTGGGAATACAAAGTAAAAAATAGCACAAGTTTTTGGAAGAAGTTAATATTTCGGAATCCCCTATAAATATTATTAAATTATTATTAAAATTTGTTACTTTAATACAACTTTAAACTACACTCATGAAATTATTTTATTACATTCAGAAATATCTGCCAAAAAAGGAAAAATCATTTACGAATTATGAAATAGAGTTATTGCTAAATTTAGTACTATTGAACCTCACTGTAAAATGCTGCTGTCAACATTTTATCATCATCCTAATCATCCCTCAATGCCGACACAATCTAATGCGTACAGGCTTAAACGGAATTGCTTAATCTCGGTTTAAGTCTCAAATTATTTCTTCAAATCCGTTGATAAGTTAATGGGTCAATTTTATTTGTTTGATCATTGTTAGCGAATACATTTTAATTACTTAAGTTTCGAATAATATATTATGCTATGTTTTTCGAGGCCAAAAAAACCTTATTGTGAGTTAAATAGAACCGGATTTTGTATAGCTGAAATAAAGGAACATTTGAAGAAATGGAAAAAAATAGCTCTTTCATGTATAGCTTTTCAGGTTTTAAATTACTGTATTGAACAAACAAATGAAAAAATCTCAGAAATTTTAACATCGTCCCATTTAAGTAAATAGTGAAAAGGAAATGATAAAAAGATTGGTGAAATAAAACAATTCATATATTTATGCAATGTTAATTGATGAGAAGGAACGGAAAAGTTCAACAAAGAAATGTGCATTAAAATGTTAAATGCTACACTTCAATAGCAATACTTCACTGTATATGTGTGTATATGGGAGATTTGTATTGTGTGACTTATATATTCTCCACACCAATCCCTATACTTCAGTATTTTCATCATGGGAATGTATGATTAGGTGTAAGGCTCTTAGAGGAATGAATGTAAGCAAGGCTTTTAAGAGATTCAAATCTCGGAAGCAATTTTTTTCAAGACTCCTGGGAATAAGAAGAGGAAGAGAATGGTAAGAAAAAGTAAAAGAAGCACGCGAATGATATCCACTCATCATTGTCTATATTTTTCCAATTTAAACTTATAGAATTCTCATTTCGTTTCCAATTAATTTGAAATAGTGAGATATCAATTTTGCAATGAACCGATTTGAAATTTCTAATTCAAAATATGCTGCAGTTATTTAAAAAGAGAGAGACAATTAACGCCTTTCTTCCTAAAACCCTTTCACTTTTTTTCTTATTTCCAAAATGACATAAATCCATTTTTTCTTCCATTTTATCTATCGTAAATTTGGAAATAATAATACAGATGACTCAAATTTTCACGCAATAAATTTCCTTAATTGTACTTTTGGAATAAGAAATCCTATTCGTTGATGAATTTCTTTCAGATATTTCTGACGAGTGCCAACTTATTTCACTTTAAATGATCTGTATTTTTTCCATTTCATGGTATCAGATTTATTGTTAATTCAAATCCCGAAGTTCCCGATCATATTTGGATAATTCTATGCTATTTGTCGC